GAGTATGTTGAAGTTGTGTATTTCTACCAACGGTGTCACCTCACACTCGAGCGTATGAAGCGTATGGTCGTGCCACCTCAAGACTCTCGCTGAAGTCAACGTCTCTCTCTCTCTCTCTTTCTTTCATGAGCGAAGCTCATTAAGACGTGAGTTGAGCGTCCCGTAGTAATCGTATGTAGCCACATCTCGTTAGTTCTTGAACCGGCCGTAGAGGGTGGTACTTGTACATATAACGAAATGCATATACGCTGAAAAATGCAAATGGTACGACACTAGAGGACGTTACTGTAGTATGATAAATAATTAATATTATTGCATATCCAAGGAATGAGTAATGATGACTGGAGCGAAGCATCCATCAGTCCATCCGTGCTTCCGTCCACCCGTTCGTTCTTGCTTCCGTCAATCCGTGCGTCCGTCCGTCCGTCTGTGCATACACCCGTTCATCCATGCGTCCATCCATTCATTCATCCATCCGTACATGCGTCCGTCCGTCGTCTCATGCGCTCATCTGTGCGTCCCTCCGTCCGTCCCCGCGTTGGTCCATGTGTCCCTCCATCCATGTGTCCATCCGTTCACTGTGTGTCCGTCCATTCGCGCATCCGTCCACGCGTCCTCTCGTGCGTCCATCCTCTTGTCCCTGCGTCCGTCCGTGCGTCCGTCCGTGCGTCCGTCCCTGCGTTTGTCCATCCGTGCGTCAAACAAAGACAGACGCGGCCAGCGGATGAGTCATGGTTTGCCGATAAAAAGTATGGCGTGCGCAAAGCGGCGGCAGCTCACACGCAAGACAGAACCCCGATGTGCGAGCGCACAAGAAAACAGGAATGACGTCACACGTGGACATTGGTGATCACGTGTTCTTCGACGGCGCCGTACGCTAGGGAGCGTGGTGTAGTAAAATAAAGCCCGTTTTGGCGCACGCGCGCGTTCAGAATGTCGGCGGATGGACAAGCTTCAATGCGGCGTGTGCGCAAAGCAGTGGCGGCTCGTGCTCGAAGACGAAACCCCGATGTGCGAGCACGCGAGGAAGAAGCGTGCCATGAAGCTGCGCGGCAGCACCGACAAGATTCCGGCTTACGAGAACGGGAGGCCGAAGTGGTGCTGCAGCGGTGTGCGGACTTCGCTCCACTCTCTACCATTCACCCCGTAGATATGCTGTCATTTTTTTTCAACCGTGCCATGAGTGGGCCCACTAAATGGCCAGACTACTAACTAATGTCTTAGAGCAAGACATAATGTGCTCGCCGCCGTTACACCCATCGCTGGTGTAACGGTGACGAGACATTAAAGGTGACACATTTCTCTATATCTCTAGACCACTTGCTCGTGGTGCCGCACTTATCAACCCCAGTGCGCCAGTCAGCTGCGATGACGGGAGACCAACGCTGTTGCTGCAACAAGCTGCTCGCCGCAGCAGCCGGTAGCCCAGACAGTCGTGCGAGCGCGCAAAGGGTGGTTTCGTTCTTTCACTCTCTCCATTCTTGCGGGGCCTGGTAGCAAGATCAGTTCCTGCCCGGGAAGACGGCAAAGGCGCTGCCGGTCGCCGTCAGCTGTCACAGCGCGAAAGGAAACACCGCCGAGCCCATCCGCCGGGGAGCCGTTGGCCCGCGCCACTAGATGCCCTGAGACAGCCCATGACACGGCGCTGGGTGCAACTACACTCGGTGTGCCGCACCGAGTGCTAAACGTGGACGAATGTACACTTTTTGGTGTTACTGTCATTTGTCAGAAAAAAGACCAATCGAAAGGATTAAATGATTGTCTGTTTCATATAAAAAAGCCTAAGCTTACCTGACATCCTAGTTGTTTGCATTTTAACAATATGTATCAAGCGCCGAATTCGCAAAGCTTCTGTTTCATGAGAGAGTCCTTCCCACAGGTCATAGTATTTCCAGTATCATGACTGGCTGATATATTCTCTTCCAATTTTTTTTTTCGCGTAAGAGGTTTTTAAGAATACGTACCCAGGTTCATTTGCACGTTTAACTTTTGTTTATATATTCTTTTTTTTAATAATATGTTTGCCTCTCTTCAGAAACATTTTAGTCTCTCTCCACATCTCTATAAAGAGTATCGTTCCAGCGGTTATGTACACGCTGGAAACAAAAAAAAAACGTTTTTTTCTAATTTAAGAGCCAGTCTCTCTATATCTTTCTTGATCTTTCAATCGACAAAATGTGTGCTCTTCTTCTTGTTCGCCTATTAACTATGACACACACCCACTTTTGGGAATCGACGAATACTTGAGTGATATTATAAAGTAGTATGGGGCTTCAGAATAATGAAGGTTACATAATAAAAAAAGGTACAGATTACATAGCACGTCATGGGGCTCGATCTAATGTTGGGCGAACATGTGTTCCTCTTTTTCTTGCTTTTCATATTTTAGAATATCTGTCCAGACTGTCCATTCATCGCAAAGGACAGCTATCAGAAGACATGCAGCTCATTTTTCAAAACTTTTTTTTTATTGCGATAGCAATTGTATGGACACTCTCCTCTGGCTTTTGCCGCCGGCGTCGGCGTGTGCCGCCATTCACCGTATATGTGCACGTATCTATATGTATGAAAAGGCAGGAAAGAAAAATGATCCAGAAAAAGACTCCCTCTCTCACAAAACAACGGCTGGTGTCAAGATTTCTAGCGCTGAAATTAGTTGGAACCATGTTCTTTACTTTTTTATTTATATTGGGCGAAATATGAGAAGGTAGAATACGTCGCAGTCGGCTATCCCAACATCACGGCAGTGATGTACAAGATAAACATGTAAAATACGAAAAAATTAAGAATAAAAGAAGAAAAATATAACGAGATGAATTATGAACAAATTTACCCTATAGGCCTTATAGCGCATGAATTAGCACAATATATATGGGCATAGTCCTGTTTATATATCGGGATCTCATTGCAGATACAGTCCGTAAAATAGTAGAAACATTTTCCTCAAGATTCATGATCGTGGTGGCAAAACGTGCCGCCATCGTTTGAAGGACATCTATGCTGATTCCTAAGCTGAGTGGATACGTCTGTACGGATAAAGAGGAATCAACTAATGAACGTCTTTGCATTGACACGCTTGAATTACTGATAAACAAAGTGCAATCGCCCAGCTGGTTGCTGTACAATGTGTGCATTAATGTGGAGCTAAAGAACATGAAGCAGTCTATGTTATATTGCAATGATGCGTGTGTTTTAACTATTCTTCTACTTGTATTACTATGCTCAAGAATGCTTAACAGTGTTTCTGACCTACAGCACCATGGAGTTCATGTTCATGAGTCAAGGAACACGGCCGCTCCCCATGCAGGGCGTGTATATCGACGGCTCCATACTTGCGCTTCAGGATCCTCTTCTCATAACCAACGAGAGGTGTTATCTATTGGAGTAAAAACCAAGTCTGGCGAAAAATATCTCAGTACATGACCATGTGACGTAGACCGCTTAATGGCGTATAGTTGTACGCGGCCTCAAGATCACGCTGCACAGCACGTAAGACAAGTCCTAGACACTGTATAAATAAATCGCGTCAATTATGCGTGGGGCGTACGGTAATTACGAAAACTGTTCTGAAAGGCTTCTGTCATATCGATAATAAAGAAAAGTCACAGTTTCGCCAATAGTGCAAATCAGTGATTGCGACAGCAACAGATTCGAATGTTTTACGAAGCAATAGGCGAGCATTTTTAGGAGACACATTAATTGTAGCAAACATGCGCTTGGTAAGTAACCAAGTTTCCTGCGTTACGGCCACAGTACATGACCACAACAAGGCTCGCGCGTAGTGATGGCGTTGATATATGAAGTGATGCTGGCAGTCAAATGATTTAGATCCGATCTCACGTAACTCTACAAAACGCTGGCGTAAGAGAACACGACCGCTCCAGGCATCCTTTTGGCACCGTTTCTTTTTTGTGTGTGTGTTGAGAGCACAGCGCGTAGAAGCTTCCACTCCCTGTGGGGGAGAAGGTGCACTATGATCGCTGCCGCGATAACTATAAGCGCCCCCTCCCCCTCCCCCTTTCCGCATGTTCGTTGGCGAGATTAGCGCGCACGCAGCTGAAAAGGCGATGTTCGCTCCGCAGAAAGAGGAGGCTGTAGTGCATCCTTTCCCGTACATACATACATACATACATACATACATACATACATACATACATACATACATACATACATACATACATACATACATACATACATACATACATACATACATACATACATACATACATACATACATACATACATACACGTGAATGACGGCGGTGGTGGCTACGGCAAAAACCAGCCGAGACTGTCCTTATAATTCCTATCACAATAAAAACGAGTGATCACGTTTTCTGAAATACGCACATTCTTCATTAGAATATTTTCTCCCCACGTACCGGACAAGTTGCTAGGAACGTATGGTGTCGCGTTGCTAAGCTCGAGGGCACATGGGTTCAAATGCAGGCCACGGCTGAAGCGTTTCGATGGAGTCGAAATGAAAGAGAACACCTGTGTATTGAGATTTAGGTAGACCTTAACGAATTACAGGTGGTGGCGTTTAATTTCTTTACTACAGCATGCCTAATAACATCATAGTTTTGGCACGTATTTCCCCAGCTTCTTCTTCTTCTTCTTCTTCTTCTTCTTCTTCTTCTTCTTCTTATTATTATTATTATTATTATTATTATTATTATTATTATTATTATTATTATTTGGGGTGCTATTCTGGACACTGTGTATTTCCGCCATATTGTAAAATTTCGCAATGGCGGAATTTTAAGCAAATCAGAGAGGTCGTAGCAGCTCTCTTGGCCAATTATCATGAATCAGTGGTGGAACTTGACAACATGGCGGAATGCGACAATGTCCAGAATAGCACCTTTATATTATTATTATTTATTAACATGTACGTAAGTGATGTCTGAATATAACCAACAAATATTGCTGGAAAGCCACTGACTAAGGTCACCAACGTTTCTTGATAGGAAAATCAATAATTCGGTCACGCTACTCACCGATGTAAATCCACCAGAGCAGCAAGCCGTAGACCACGACGCATTCCCACCAGAAGCGGCGTTTAGACCACACATCCATTTGGGCCATGATCGACGTCCACAGGGAAGACGGCGAGAAAACAACTGGCTTATAGCCAAGTATTTCCGAAGCAGGCCAACTAAATCAACAAGCCTGGTCGACGACGTTCAAAATAGCGTTAGTGTTGAGCGCGTGTTACGCAGTAGCGTTGAAACTCGTGGGACGTCGTCACGTTGAAACGGCAGCGCACCCGCGCGCAGCGTAAATGCGTCGCATGCCGGGGCGTTCATCCAGAAGCGCGCGCAATCCGGAGTCCATTATTCCGTGGTCACTTGGCGTTGAAATATGCGCCTGCGCAGGTGATACGCCGACGAGTGCGATGGAACCGTTCATGTGCACGCGCCCGTCACAAGTCGCAGTACGATCAACCTCCTGTCACAGCCGCGGCAAGCGCATATCAGTACTGCCGCGAAGGGTTGGCAGAAAGCCGCCACCAACGCAACACAGCACAAACCGCGAGGCATCTTCGACGCAGAGACACCGGAACTTCCTCCAACGACACAATGATAAAAGGGGGAAAGAAAGTAAAACAGAAAGAGGACAATCTTCATCTCCCGCTCAGCAAAGGCGCTGGTGGCGCAACTTGAAAGCGACGGAAACAAGACAAAAAAGACAGCAAGGCTTTATTCGACGCATCAGTGGCGTCCCAGTACGTGGCATTACGCGTGCACGCACACATGACTGATTTTTTTGTCGTACGAATCAGTAAGGAAAGAAAGCAAGCGAAACGTGTATTAACAGAGATAGTTGAGCGTTTATTCAGCATTGTTTCACCACAAGGTCGAGGGGATGAATGTTATAGCGAGAAATTGTTATGCCACGCAAAGAATAGCAATCAGCTCGAAATTGGCAGCTGAAATAACTCGACAATTAGATCGTGCGGTTCAAACACAAAGGTGAACGCATGAAACGAACACACAGGTATGCAGAGGACGAGCGCCAATTAATCATAGGGGCTTTTAGCTTGTACGTATACTTCCTTACGTTACCGTGTTACCTGATACCGGATAGAATCTGCGCATGCGCAGGTCTTTACGGAACGTAAACCTTTACGTTTCCCGCCGGATGGGGTTTAAAAGTTTACGTTTCCCGCCATACAGGCTTTAAGTTTCCAGCCCTATCTCGCAAATCCACTTTCATTCGTAGCAACTCGTGGTATCCGCACTGCGGGGACTCGAGCCGTCGAGTTGAAATAAGCCCACGTGCGAGCGCCAATAGCCATTACATTGTTTCAGCCGGATCACCAAAGCTAGAATGGCCTAGGACATAGGAGCCGTAAACGTGCGAACTTCTGACGAGCTGGATGGGTGGCGCCATCTAGCAGGGCAATAGTGAACCAGGTAATCAAAAAATTGTTATTGCAGAAACATCGTGCATTGTACGTCTGATGCAAAGACGACGCAGCGGTGTTATTACAAATTAGTTACCTTTTTAATCACTTTCACCTCAGAAGCATTACGCGTAAGCCGACGTGTACATGACTGTGGTTGCATGAAGTGTCACAAAATGTCGACCGCATCGTTGCAGTAGCTCTGTATTTTTTTACTTTTTTGCGCATATGAGGATACTATACGCGATGAAAGAACGTCTCGTGATTTTGCCTCAACGGTGAATCAATCATATGTAATTAAATGTGGTTTATATGCAGTTAGCATCACCATTTATGGTTTGTGAAAACATAAAGGTATACGCGTTTAAGTACGTACGTTAACGCCTACGTATGAGGAGCTAAAACGGTGAGATATCCGTTCCGGTAAGACGGTCAACGCAAACCGGTATCCGGTAAGACGTTAACGTAAAGAAGTATACGTACAAGCTAAAACTCTCCAATAATAATACCAGGGGTTTGAAGGGACACTAAAGCCAACTATTAAGTCAACGTTCATTGTTGAAATGACGGTCCAGAAACCTCACAGTGTTACTTTTGTGCCAAGGAAGGGCCTATTTTGAAATAAAATCACGTTTTAGTGTTCAGCATCAGGTTAGCGCACTTCAAATTACCCGCCTCAAGAAGCTGACCAACCGGTCTGTCTCACGTCACTGTTGCCGTGCAGAACGTTGCCCGGCTTTACTGCGCTAGTAGCAGCAGTTCGAAAGCAGTGGGCGCCACAGCAGCAAAAACGGCCGTTGATCGATTTCACTCAAATGGCTCCGAGATTGCAGATGCATTTGTTTCAACTGTGCCCGGCTAGATGACGCCACCTGTCCCATGTAAGCCCGCGAAAATTGAATTTTCGAACCACTCGCACAATTCGCCATAGTAATGTCCGGTGGTTCTTTTTTTCCACGAATCAAACAGAAACGACCAAGAAGCATTTTATTGCGTCTCTTGATGCTCGAAAATTTCTTTATTTAAGCAAGTTAGATCGATTACTAGGGATTAATTGTTGGTGGTCCGTCTGATGTCATCGAGATCATTTTAAAAAATGCCCTACTGTGGCGCTTGTGTTCTTGTGCATTTACCTTAACTTTTCGGTAAATATAGCACTGTTGATAATATTGTCGTTTTAGGTGTTGTCATACATTGGGCTTTCACTGTGACGTATATTGTTATTTGACTTTAGCATCCCTTTAACGTCCCAAAATCCCGATATGATTATGAGAGAAGGCATAGTGGAGGGCACCAGAAATGTTAACGATTTGGGATTCTTTAACGTACACCCTAATCAAAGTACATGGGCGAGCACGAGCAACTTCCACAGTTTTTACTTCTTTTTGGGTGAGCAGCGAGCATCCTTCGCAAACGCGGCCGCTACAGCGGGCGAAGTGACCTTCGTGCTCTCTGTAACTTCAACGTCAACTTGCGGTGAAAGCGCAAGACGTAGTACAAACCACCCCCATCAAGAGATCAGCATGCGCGCATCGCAAAGCATGGAGCGATGACCTCTAAAGCAGCCCTGTGACACCTTGGGGCAGCCTTATTTAGCACTGGATATCATGGTTGCCGAGACGAATGCAACAAGAATAAGGCATATTGGTGCATGGTGCAGGTGAGCTCTACAAGCATAACCAACCTCACAGCTCGCACTGGAACACGTGTTGGAACAGCCCTAACTCTCAATATTCCCCGCAAGAATTTCGCAGCCAAAAAAGCCAGTTTCACCAGTGCTTTAAGTACTCCGGCAACACTTTGCGTCCACCGGAAACATGCCCTGTCTTCCTGTTTACCTTGTTTTAGCGTGGTATTGACCGGCTTTGCTGGTGGTGGCTGCTTGCGTTGCGTTGATTTCAGCACAGAGCATAGAAGTATTCCGCTGAAGCACTCGCGACTCGGGCACTCCCTTGTGATGCCAGGAAGCAGTCTCCGATGAGGAAATAATTTGCTATCACAAGTCAAAACGTTGCATTTCCCGACAGATGAAGGCAGGAAGAGCGCCTGCATTGCAGTGGGGAGGCGAGAAAACTGTTTTTCCCACAAAGAGCGCGTAGATTTGCTCTGCCCACTATATCAAGGTCAAGTAGAGCTGAACGCATACCTTAATTACTGGCACCGAGGCGATGTTCGGGTGTCATTTGAAGGCCCCCAACTAAAAAAAAAAAAAACACGTCACTCGTCGTCTTCTTCCACCGAAAAAAAAAAGATAACTGCGCTGACACTTGCAGTGGAAAGCAAAACGGGGGAGCTGGCTTACACCGAAAATCTATCGCAAAGGTGTTTGTTCTAGTTTGCGTATACTGTGTGTTTGTACTGATGAGATGTGTACTGTTTGAAGCAATACTCGGGAGTCAAAGGTCGGCAAAAATTGTGGAGCTCACTCAGACTCAGTCATGAAACATATTTTACACTCCAGGCTCACTCGTTGTCACTCACGAAAACTTTCTTCTGACAGACTCGCTCAGACTATATTCACCGAAGTAGAATAGAATGGAATATATTTGTATTTCTAGAAATACAAAGGTTCTGGCAGATACCATCAGCTAAAAGCTGTTGTCAGACAGCTTGACTGAGCGGACCGAAGTAGTACTTGTCCGCACTCATTCATACTCAGACTAATGGCTCGATCGGAGTCTGAGTCTATTAACGTAGAATTCGATTTTTCGACCATTGTGTCAATGCTCTTCAGCACGAGTACCTCACGTAGCCGATACTTTTATTGGCACCTTTTCATACAGTACCTTTGAATACGAATTATGAGTGGTTACAAACCAGTCAGGGCATATTTATTGAAATAGATGTCAACATAAGATATATTTACCAAGTACTTCCCTGGAAGAGTTGCGGGCGGAGAAGGGGGGGGGGGGTCAATTAACCCCTTTATGCAATTCATACCTGTGATGAACAAGTATTTAAATAGTGTATGAATGATACTGCCTTGAAATGTATGAACAGGCGTGACTATAAACTTGAATCCAGGTAAGGTGAATAGTAATGCTGAGAATGAGTAGATATGAACATAGGTCGGCAAAGAAAAAAAAACTGGGACTCACTATGACTCTCTCAAGAAATATGTCTTTTTTTTTCAATCTGTCTCGCTTAACCCATACCTTTACATTGTTCACAGCTAATATGGAAAACATGAAAGAAAATATTACCAGTCTCAATGAGTTGGTCCACTCCAGGGCGCGAGCGTTAGCTGTCCGCGGCCATGGAGGACCTCTGGGTCGACCTTGAGACATGGTTAGTAGGGATCCGCCAACTACATACAATGTCATTACTCAGCATTTCGATATGGACAGGAGAAATTCTCCACTTCCCTAGAATATCTAGAAAGGCAGGCTACTTACTCTATGATGCACTTTATTGCCTCACTGTTAAAGAACTCACACGGTTGATTACTCAAGCTAGTGTGTCTACCAAGCGTTGGTCAAAGGCCCTTCGAAGACCATCAGAGTTCTTGTTACTGAACTAGCTTCCTATTAACCCTGCTTTCCTGCATTGAAGCTCTCACGAAACAGGAACGTTTTGCCGCGGCAGCTGGCAGTGGAAAACGAATCACCGAGAACACATGTATGCCGCATGCAAGAAAAGAATATCAGAAACGTTCAAAAATAGCCAGAATGAAGAAAAAAATGCTATACCTAACAGTGCTTACTCCCGTTGAGTTCGGCTGTGCACATCGAATACAACTCTGAGCAATCCACTCGGAATGAAAGCCGCACACTTTCGGTGGAATCTGGAAGCTTTATCTGTGCTGGCTCAGTGTATACATATATAAAAACGGTCCGCTGATGTGTGCAGGTCAAAACTACAGCGACTAAAAAAGCGGCACGATCAAATCATCCAGCTGTTTCAGCCATCTTGAAAATAAAACGACAAAAAAAAAGAAAAGTATGATTGAACAGCGAGCGAAACATGTGTGCTTCTTCAATGACCTTAGTATAGGCCACGAAATGCCTTCTACAGATTCCTGCGTTCTTTCTGGGCTCCCGGTCTGCTTTTTAACACTTCGTACCATGATTAAGAGAAATAATGGAGACGGGTATCAAAAACTTGAACACCCCCCCCCCCCCCTCCCCTTCTTCGACAGTGGATCAGCGAAATAACGCGTCACGATTTGGAGGCCTTGAGGCTGTTACATATACGCCTAATCCGACAAAGCGCTACCCTTCTTAACATGCGGGAACGCCTTCCAGTGAATGCAACGAAGAAAATTCTTACTTGACCCGACGACCATGCTGAATCCAACGTCGACGTCTTTTCTTCTTTGGGCAACCTTTCGAGAAGAGGTGGAGCTTTATTTCGCCTGAGTTATTGTACGTTTTTGTGGCAGCCCAAAGCGCTACGAATCATGTTTCTGCAACTCGGAAAGCTTCAATGGTCACTAAAATACGGCGTTTCAGCAAAACGTGAGCAAAGATGAGAACAAGATGACAAATAAGGTCGCCGGTTAATGCGACCTAAGCTGCAGTCACATCACTGACACGTGCGCGGTCGCTTGAGGCGCTCTCGTAAGCGCATAGCTGACAGCGAAGTGACGGTTATCTTTTCGGTTGAGCAGTGATGCACTGCAGATCGTTCCCTTTATTACGCGATGAGGTTTGATAGAAGGATGAGCGCTTCATTCCGTGTGAATTGTGCATGTGCAGCCGTATCTGCCTGTTTAGCGCCCAGAGCCTCTGGGCGCTAAACAGGCAGATACGGCTGCACATGCACAGAGGATACTGCACATGCACAGAGGGCCAGAGGATACTTTTCTACAAGAAGGATGATATCTTAGGGCGTATTGTAGACAGCACGCGTCAGCGCCGCCACCAGACATCCCAGTCAATCTTAACGCGATAGCGTTAGAGAGCTCATGTCGCAGAAATTCCGACAGGTGTTCTCTGTTTCCACGTCGGCGTCGGCCCCATTGGTTATGAGCGAAAAAGCTCGTTACGGAGATCGCCGTGGGAGGCCGCTACTTGTTAACGCGTGCGCGCGCTATCACCCTGAGAAAAGCCGCGCATTTGAAGAAAAAAAGAAGAAAAAGTGTTCAAGGTCACGAGGTGTGGGTGAGGTACTTTTTTTGCCCCTGCCACCCCTCTCTGCTTAGCTTCCAGCGCTTTCGTCGGGACGAGAGAAGAGAGAATGCAATTGCAGCATGCGACAAACCTTTGTAACTCCACTCGCACTAGACGGATTCTTAACATTCTTGCGGCATTCAATTCGTCAGGCAATAAGCTATTCTAGTTAATTCATTTCATGGTTTCTTGAAAAAGTGTTTCAAGGCCCCTTTAACGCATTTTGTTTGACAGGTGTCACGACGAAAACGAGCCCATTCGGCGATTTGTAGGCGCGTTTCGGAGGCCTCAAACTACGTCGAAAAAGACCGGGATAGTGCAGCCATTGCCGCTAAAAACGCACAGGAGCTTTCAAACAGCTCTAAAAATGGACAACTATGTCCATCTAGCGGAAATCATATCATGCTTTTCCAGAGGCGTTGATCAAGCAAACAGCAAACGCTAGACAATGTGCTGGCATTAGTGAAGCATTGTCAGACTCTTTATGGCATCCGAGATGGTAAGCGCGCAGCGTGTATCTCGGAGGCCATACGACTTTTGCTTTTTATCGAAAACCTGTACATACATTCGCGCGGGCGCGCTGGTACAATCTACTACTGCGTGTGTGTGTCCGTGTATGTATGTAACAAAACATATGAATAACGATGCACTTAGGTCGAAGGACGCACTAGGGGCCGGATTTCGCTATCGCGTTCAACTCTTAAAGGCGAAGCTTAAGGGTCTCCTAATTTTTTCTAAACCGGCAGATTGCAGGCAAGGACATTGGACTTTAACCCACACGCTCAGCCAATGCCCTGGGTAGCAGAACTTCAACAGCAGCGAGGACTGGGATTAGGACAACTCTAATATAGGTTATTAATTAGCTGTAATGGTAGCCTAATAATTCTAAAAAAGAAGAGGTGCACCTTGCATAGAAATCCTTGAACGATGTGACCACAAGGGTCATTCTTTTGAAAGCCAGAAATACTCACAAAAGATCAGTTGTTCCATCGAATACTTGCTATGGATACACATAGCCAAATATTGTATGACCCGCATGCCCTGTCGTCATCTTCGTTATGTTACAATTCAAAAGATCACCCAAGTTGTGTTACAATTATCGTTATGTTACAATTGAAAAGATCATTCAGGCAGTTGCATCTGCCTTTAGCCCCTTCATTACAATTGGACTGTCTAAATGAAACTTTAATTCAGACAGAAAGGCCAGTTCAAAGTTGTCCAGAGGGCCCGTGAGAGAGCGGAGGGGAGTCTCCCATCTCCAACATGCATGGGATTAGCCAACAGCCAGCCAGGGACAGTGACCGGCTCCTAAGGAACCTAATGAAGTTCCTTGTTTTTCCGTATGTCTGCTTCTTCAACTGAGAATAAAACATAGACCCACAAAGTTCTGATTGATGTGATTTTAATATTAAGTTACACTTTGTTCATAGGGAATCTCTTAACGGATAGTGCATCCGCCTTCTACATTCAGTAAGTCGGTGCTGTCAGCATAAAAAAGCGCTTTCTCAAGTCCGCTGCAGTACTTAATGACTAGTTCACAACGAAAAGGAGAAGATGCGATTGAGCAGACGGCACATTCTATATATGTCATCATGCTTCTCCATTCACACAACTTTGAGAGCAAGAAAAAAAAACAGCGCATGAAGGTCTCAATACATATACAACAATAAAGTTCGCCATGAATACTGCTCCCGTCGTGCTCTTTACAAGACGGCGATGCGCCTGCGCACGATACTGGTAACGATCACTTCACCAAAAATGAAGGAAACACTTTAAAAACACTTGACGAACTGCGTTATCTGGGACTCAACGTGAATAAGAGACAGCTCAAAATGCAGATACAAAACAAAAAGCAAGAAATAACAACAAAAGCACATTAACTGGATTGGAATGCAGATCGTTCTTTTGTTTTCTGTTTCACAGAGCTCCTGAGATGACTTGGTCGATTGAGTATGGCTTAATAGACTTAGGTTGCACAGCCAAATGTTTGTCTCTGAAGCTCAACAGCTTACTTACTCCTTTATAAAAAAAGAGCAAGATTTTTTTTCACACACTCGTTGTTACCTGATCTATTACAAGATAACTTGAGAACAATTCATACAACAGAAACATAAGTGCCCAAACGCTGTCACTTTTTTATATAAAAATGACATATATTAGGTTGCAGATGCATGGATATACAACTCGGGCGACAGTTTCACGTGAAGAAAAAAAAAACACGAGACATCCACGCGCAATGAACTTTTTACTGCACAAATGCGTAATTTTGCGTGATTAGTTTTTAGGTGCCATTAAGCCTACGAGTAGCACGCACATCAAAAGCGTAGCCAATGCCACGCAATCAGGTCACACCTGTCGGCGCCACTGCAATATAATTAGAGGTGCCGTATTGAGGAACAGTGCATAATAATGCCCACGTATGCTGCTGGCTTGACTGTTACTCCCCTCAACATACAAGGATTCAACATACAACATATAATGAATGCACAGACTATAGTTACACTCGGCGAGGAGATTCATTAACAAACACGAGGAACAAACGAGGTAAATGGCACAGTTACGCGTAACATGTGCTGAGACATGCGTACGTAGATCCTTTGTCAGAAGAGTACGAGTCACTGAGTAGTGTACACCAAGGGTCCCAACTGAGCCGCTAGTCAGAACACCTGCATAACAATCACTGCTTGCGCAACAAACCAGACTCTGACTGACGAGGACTGGAGTGACGGACCAAATCGTTTCCCCGCTGGTTTCTTTCCCACGGTCATGCGATGCACTCATCGATCACATTCCTCAAGGGCCTAGGGGTGTAAGATATTGTAGCACACAAGCATGCCCTGGCGGCAGGGATAAAGAAGACGAGAATACAATTCCACAACATCTCTATGTACACTTCCAAACACGAGTCGATAATTCGTGGTATCGTACTTTAGCGCAACTTTCCCTTAACCATAGGCAGGGAGTGTAGCGCGGCTCCACCATTACAGTGAGACTGTCGGTCAAGCTCGTGATTACTCGAAGCCTGTCGTGTAGGGTCCCAGCTTGGACGGTGCCGAGCCCACTATCGCACCGAGTTCATAGGCTTACGCAATTTCGTGGTCGCTCACACCTCGATGCCCCCGCTACCGTCGACGCTAACGACCAGGTTGTACGCCGGCGGTGGCGTGGCGCAGATTTCGCTTACGTCGTCCGATGCCCTTGCGTCACCCAATGATCCACCCGAAGGCGGCAACAACGGAGGAGGCGCGTCTCGGCGCTTCCCCTGCGGAAGTCGAAGTTGTAGCGTCGGTCCCTTGCCGACGTTCATGTATCCCTGGGCAACACCTCGAGCGGAAGCGTCAACGTCCTCGGCGCTGCCGATCATGGGTGTCATCTCCATGCTGTCTCCCAAGGTGGCGCTACCGTTGTCGACGTTGGCGGTGGCAGCCATCTTGGCGTAGTGCGGCTCCGAATTCGGCTGCGCGGCGGTTCGGCTCGTGTTGATGTAGTTTTCATCGTCGGACTTCATGTCCAGGTAGTCAGGATCTAGCTTGTTGCCCATAGTGAGGTAGTCGTTGTTGTTCTTCAACAGCAGATTCACATTGGCGTAAGGGTCGTTCAGGGCCATGTAGTACTGCAGGAAAAAGGGGCGACACATTATTAGCTCCCAACGGGATTTATACTATGGCAACAATATTAATTATGATACAGGGCGAAGGATTCCTTCCGTCAGTGTTTCTCACTGCACAGAAACTTGTTTCTGTATCTGCCGAGCTGATGCAGTCGATGTACAAGCATTTCATGCTGATTGTTCCAAATAATGACACTGAAGGTCATTCTATTTTGATGCAGAAAATTGTTTTCCTTGCTCAAACTCGACGTTTATAAGATCGACTTCACTTGAAGTACGTTTGTCTTGCAGAATGACAAACGATTCTTTTCAGTGAAGCTTAACAAGTCTTTCTTCATTGAGCGACAAGAGGAATTATAACTTACATTTCTCACTCCAGCCTCAAGGAGGTCTCCAACGCGGGTAACCAGGGTCGAGAAATCCGGCCGCTCTTTAGGCTCCCCTTGCCAGCAGCTTTGCATGATTTCGTATCTGCGCAGAAAAAAAAAAAGTGTTTCGTGTCGCGGAATTGTCCAGAGAAGAGAACTCGCTCTGAGCAAAGTTAAATTGACGTGCTCCATGCTGAGTAGTGAAAGGTAGGCTCAGAGAAAATAATAATACGATTTCATTATTGCCTGCATTTTTGTTCTCGTAGCGTTCATACATTCAAACTTCCAAGCACTTTTGTCCAAGTAGTATATGTGTCTTGCGTCATTTAAGTCAAACGTGATGGCTTACACGTCGTCTGGGGCGTAGTCCGGTTTCTCCATGCGGTAGCCGTTCTTCAGCCTTTTGTAGAAGGACTCGTCGATGGCAACTCCAGGATAGGGGTTGCCTCCGAGTGAGAATATTTCCCAGAGTAGCACCCCGTAGGACCACCTGTCAAGAAAATCACGTTAAGTGACGGACTATGCGACCAAGAAAGCACTCATAATGAGTGCTCGAATAAGGGAAGGATTCTTGTCCTAGAATTCTTCGTAAGTAAAATATGCAGGAAATCCTGATGTTGGACAATATTATTGCCAAACCTGGCCAGCCATAGGCAAATAATATGCACTGAAGGAGAGCATCCCTGATTGGCCTTCAAGACCGAGAAAATGCGGTGCTAGCTTGTATTGACCGGTCTTTGTGAGCGCACATTATTGAAACGCAAATGCCTCGGCGCGCATCGTATGACCAACAGAGAACTTTCAGAGAAGCCGCAACAGATGCAAGGGCTGCACCAAGTTCGAAGCCACGCCGGACGAGAGTGAATGTCTCATCTTGAGTGCAGGGAAGTGCTCAAGCTTCATTACAGCAAATGAGACGTGCAACACGATCAAGGTCAACGAGTTAATAAGTCAAATGCATGAAAAAAGAATTGAGTTGTCACATGCCACTGTTTCTTTAGTATTACTCACTGCCGCAAGAGGTAAGGTCCTCAGTGTGCACAGACGATTGTGAGAAAGATGTGATTTTACGAAAAAAAAAAAAACACCCAGCATTGTTTCTGCGCAGATTTATGCTACATGAAAATTGTGTCAAGTAAAATTGTATAGTATTGATAGTAAAAGTGGTTCGACTCTTATTGCTTCCAAAGTTTTATTTTTTATTTGTTTACTTCGCCTTTCATAAATCTATATTGTGTCACCACAACGAAACTTGCAATGGAAACGCGATTATTGTTCCCCATGTAAGAACATACCTGGGGATTGATAGGATATACGCTATATCGTGCGCCTGAATTCCTTTTAATGAACAAATTGTTGCATTAAGTTGCAGGTTACGAGGCGAATTACCAGTTTTAGCTTATTGACTACGCTCCCGCTCCCTCTAGTACAGAACCGACAGCTTTTCAGTCGAAATACCAATCGTCGACAATGTATAAACCACTAACGACATCTAATCAAGGTATAGAAACGTACACATCGCTTTTTGTTGTGAACACTCGGTCCATGATTGACTCAATAGCGGTCCATTTCACCGGCAGAAGACCCTGAAAGAAAAAGAATAGAGAGTGAGTTAGAAAGCAACGTGACATAAAGCACATTTAAAAAACAGCCCTAATTAAGCAAACATCAAAATGCTCTACGCCTAATCTTTCTGCAAGAAAACGTCATTTAAATGTTTTATAAGCTTTTCTTCAAATTATGAAATCATATTATCGCACAAAGGCTTGTTCCTTCTTTTTGCACAACTTTAACGAAAAAATTGGATTAATTTTTGTATCGACATTTTCGGATTAGAAATCTTCAAAAGTTGCGAAGTGTGAGAATAATTGTCATGGAACAGATACATTAATAATGTCTTTAATATTCTCAAGCATACTTACAGCACAATATAATTATTCTGCACAGTTGAGCTGTGGCATGTCATAACCACGTCATGAATTGAGTTCCCGTTTGGACCACAGGCAGAACTCATTAGAATGATTAGAAGAAAAAAAACACAACAAATAACACAGGAATAACTACTTCTTTCGTGGTTAAGTGCGAGGTAGGTGCGCTGGTGCGATACGCATATAGCTAGAATTGGTGCAGTACATTTGCTAACTGCAAATTTGTCGCGTATGTAATGCTGTCAAACAACATTTCATCAAAGGTGGTTCTTACGTCTCCTTTCTTGATGTAGTTGGAATACTTGTAACAGTCCTTCGCGAGGCCAAAATCGCAAATTTTCACTACATTCCCTTCACCGAGCAGAACATTTCTTGCCGCCAAGTCTCTGTGAATCAACTGCAAATGTGAAAAATAATGGCAATTAAACAATGTTAGAGAAGCACTTCGTGAACAGTCATTCTCGTCAACCCGTAATAGGCATCTAATAAGGATTTCTAATGTGTTATGAAGTGCGAACAGAGCTATATTCTACACGGGTACAAGAAGACAGTATTCAGGAAAGCACTGTGTTGAATGAGTTCAAGCATTCCTCAGTTCTATATATTTGTAGCTTTGTTGCACTATCGCATGCATACCAATCCTGATAACAAAACGTTCATATTAACACACATCTGTAAGCAAGCAAATAATGGTAGTATATCGAGTAAATTCACTTCGAAGTGTATATGCTATAGGTGAGATATAACTCGGGCTTTGTATAGACCACGCGTCTCAATGCCTGAAAACCTTTTGGCGCTTGTGGCGAAACGACGGGACAAACGTCAAGTCCAATCAACTGCTGTACGTTGATTCTTGTAGAAATGTAAGGCTCCCATTACTACTAAGTAGAGACAGTTCATGAGGCCACACAAATGAAGTTGTTCTCCAACCAGTGCAAAAAAAAAAAGTAGAGGGATTCTCATTGAACCTATGGTGTTATAGGAATGAAAAAACAAACTTCCGTTTGAACAATCTTTAGAAAAGAGTGCCTTCTGGAAATTGTTCTCGTTGGAGGCTCAAGATTGCTACCCCTTTTGGAGAATTTTCAAACAAAAGTTAGTTTTTTTTTTCATTTCTGTAACTCCATAAGTTCTATGCAAATGCCTCCAGTTTATTGTCACAGGCCACAGACCTGCTCCGATCGTATGGGCTCATGAACTGTCTCTACTTAACGATACGTTTCAGCTTCCCTGGTTAACAATCTGAACAGAGGGCATGGAGGCAGGGGTATTTTTTTTTTGCAAGATTCAAAGCCTGGACAGTATACGAGCATTAGTGTGGGCAAATCAGTGCACAATTACCTTTCTCGAGGCGAGGTACTCCATCCCGCGGGCGCACTGGAAGGCGAAGCAAAGCAGGTCGCGAGTGGTGAGTGCTGCGTCGCGCATGTCTCCATGGTCGCGCAGGGAGGAGCCGCTCATAAGCGTCGTGTTGTTGCCGCTCTCCTGCGGAAAGCCGTCAGTGGTATCCGACACCGAGAAGCTGAACTCGTTCCCGTTGCTCGTCGGCGTGGCGCTCATGGCCAGGTCAGCGTACTTCAACGTGGGCGTGTTCTGCTGTAGACGCTGTTGGCTGAAAGAGTGCATTGAGGGCAGCACGATCAACACACCTCTCACTTCGACATTACGCAATTGAAGTAATTCCGCCTCAAGTTAGTTGTTATATGCTCTTGGGCTTGCTCATCCCCACCCCCCTCCTCCCCGTGTAGGATAGCCGACCGATAATGCGTCTCGTTGACCTCTCTGCCTTTCACTCCTATTATTTCCTCATCCTCTCTAGCATTCATGCAGAGCAAACAAAGATAGAGAGCAGTAGAAGATTCCACTGTTAATTTCGTATCTAGACGACCAACAAATATAATTCGGCAACCCAAGGACTCTGCCAGGGCTCAAGGGTTCCTGGTCGCCATCTAGAAGAGAAAACTAATCAGTCAGAATTTCGCCGAGTCACATTAATGCTGTTCCTCCTCCTCAATGAAGAAAAAGACACGTATTCATTCTGATATTCTGAAACACTGCTCAGGGAAGAGAAGGAAAGAGGGTGAGAGAGGAGAACCATTTTAAACTGTGACAGTACAGAAAAGATGAAAAATACGAATAGCCCACACGACGAAACAAGCTCCCAATATAATACTCTGTCATCAACTATTTCATCAGTGCCTGTGCCTCTAACCTTCTCCACCCCCCCCTCTCTCTGTCCTTTGTATTCATGATTTGTTGTCAGCATGCTGTCAAATGGTATATTTTTAATTGTTTTGGCAAAATAAGATACATAACTTAATAGAGGACGCGAACACTCGGTAAAGAAGGAAATAGAAATTACTATACATATATACGTGATACATGAGTGAACAGCTACAGTGTACAGCTACCTTACAGCAAGTACAATATGATAACTTAAACCCAGTGCACATGTCCACAACACTTAAGTGTTTATTGCTGCACCAGTTCAAGTTTTATAACCCCAATAACAATGACGTTACAAAGTGATGAGTGCATTTCGAATTCTGGCCAGCGTTTGACGTCATTATAGCTGATCGCTTTCGATAATTCTTATTACAATCATTCTGCTTATGCGGAATGATTGTAAAATCATATTATCAAGTCATCTTTTTTTTGTATAGTCCACTTATGTTCTGCTAGTTCACTTGTTGCTTCTTTCCTCATACACTCAAACCTTTTATTCATGTGGCATTAAGAATGCGGGGCCGCCAATGCCATTTGATACTAATAAGTATCATCTGATGTGTCTTCGAATATTCGTGAATTAGTATTTGTTAGTTTTCTATAATATAGTTGGTCGACTCTGCCGCCTGAACATTTCAGATGTGATGACTTTTTTTCCCCTTTTTTTCTGCTTATCAAGTGACTCAAAGAAATGTTACGGTAGCTACGAGACAAAGAATGGTTGAATTTTTTTTCTTTTTCCCCTTTAGAATGTCTTCATGACTATTAAAAGTGCCCAGTCAGTATGGCGCTGTGACAGGAGTATATAAATAAAAAATAAGCAAAAATGAAGAAAGTTAACCTAAAGCGGCCGTAATGCAACGCTGAGAGATCTGAAAGTGACACTCCCTGGCACCGGTTCCACTCCTTTTGTGCACTTTTTCGGCATTCGTGTTTCGTGTGTTGCCAAAGCCCCATAGACAGAAGTGTGTGGTTAAGATTTGATCCATCAGTTGCCACAGCAGTGGGTTTCCGATTGGTTTTTGTGATGTAATTGCTGCTTGTACTGATTTCTACAATTTATACCACTCCATCTATACACAAACAAGAGAAAGGCAATGAGTAATAACAACTATGCAGTAAACTTTCACTGAACGTAGTGGTACTTATGTACAAGGATGGAACGATTTTGTTACTATGAAGGGGGTTACAGAGACACATTAAGGTTTGCAAGGAAGTGTTTTTTTATTTTCAGAGGAAAGTTAACAGCCGATTTTATATCCTGGGGCAATCTATTCCAGATTTTGGTACCGACGAACTGCAGACGCCGTTCTCCATAGACGTTGTTCGTGGGAAGAAGGTTGAAATTACCGGCAGCAGTAATCCTCATAGAACGGACGAATGAACAGGACGGTTATACCTTATGATACTATTAATGGCAATGGCTGTTCTCTGTTGATGCAAACTGTCCATCGGTAAAATTTGTAGTTTACTAAACAGGGGTGCGCTGGGATGATCGTGGCTTGAGTGCGTTATTATTCTTAGTGAGCACTTCTGTAGTTTTCGTAAAGGCTCCAGGTATGTAGTGTAGGTCCAACCTCATGAATCAATGCAGTAGGACAGATGACAGTGGATGAGAGAAAAGTGCAAGATCCGTAATATTGCAAGGTCGAAATAATTTCTCGCTTGCAACAATTCATTACAGCCCGAAGATAACCTCGAGCACACTGATTTTATATTGGGTTGCCAGTGAAAATGGTTGTGGATAACTACACCTAGGGATTTCATTGAATTGATGCGTTTGAGTGCATAATTATTTATCTTTATTTGAATGCTGTCTAGATTTATTGGCATATGTCGGGAATGGATTTTCATGTACTTTGTTTTTTTCGCGTTGACGTTAAGTTTATTTGCCTTGAACCAATGTGATATATTTGCTAGTTCAGCATTTGTTTTTGTTTAAATTTCTTGCATATTTTACCCGTAACAATTAAAGCTGCATCATTCACGTACAATAGTAGCTCTGCAGGATTAATGACCAGTGGTAGGTCATTTACATATAATATAAAGAACAAAGGGTCCAGGACAGATCCCTGCGGGACCCCTGTGCTTATCGGTTTTTGCGAAGAAGCCACCTAAAGAAACAATTTGACTACAATGAGTGAAGTAGCTGGAAAAGTATTCAACGCTTATGTTTCTAAAGCCATAGTTATTTAATTTTTTTTTAAGGATGCTGTGGTCGACAGTGTCGAATGGCTTCCGTAGGTCAAGAAATACAATAGAAACTAGTTTATGGCTATTTAAAGCTGTGCTGACATTTTGTGTCAATGTTTGAACTGCAGTGGAAGTAGAATATCCTGGGGAACCATGCTGTTGCGAACATAAAATTTTATAATTTTCCAGAAATTTGTTGATTCGAGAAAAAAGTACCATGTTTTTGCTAAATTACATGTTTCTGTTATCTTACCCAAGTTCGAGTATCTGAATATATATGTCTGTACAATGCCTAACCTTCTTTACTATATTCGCAATGTTTAGCACCTTGTAACCTGGTTCAATGTCTTGTTCTATTGTTTTGCTACATGTGCTATTGTTGCCTTGTGCTATCGTTTGAATACTGTGCCATTTTGTATCGCATCATTGGACCCTATTCTAGCCTTTGGCTATAGGTCCAAACAGTTTTTTGATCTATCATTTTGGAATTGAAAATAAAGTGAAATGAAATGAAAATGAATCAAAATGAAAATGAAATGAAAGCCCATTATATCATACACTTAGCTTGAGCCATACTATCTGTTTTATATGATTTTACTTTATCGGAGTTTTTTGACAATTCTCAGGTGCTAAACATGGTGGTCTAGAAGCTAGCAAATAGGGTTATGCGGTATGCGGTATTAGTGTCACTAATAAATATATGAGTGATCATGATCGCAGTCATATGCGATCGACGATCCTTCTTCAGCCCATATCTCACATATGCGACTCACCAGTAAACGGGGTTCGAAATGGCGAATCGAAAACCAGGTGACGTCGAGGCTGGTGACGTGGGGCTGTGGCACATGTCCGGATCCAGCTTTCCCGTCAACGGGTTCAGCTGGTTGACGAAGCGCGCCCGGTGTCTAAGAAGATAATGCCTCAGGTTGCCAAACTTGCAGTACTCCACGATCACCATCAATTCACCTGCGACGAAGGAATTCATTGAAACAATTAAACTGAGACACTTAGACGTCCATGTTCACGTCCTGAATTGTCGCTCAACTATCTCACGAAAGCCCTGACAAGCCATATGTCGATTTTCACATTAGGGTAGCTTAAACGTACTAGTTCGTGGCGCGGCTTTACTGACTTTTGTTGTTTACTTACTGCACCGAAACAAGCTGAATGCATTTTTTTTTAGAATTCACCTTCTGCATAGTAGTGGCGCATAGGTTGAATATACCATGGTGCAACTCCGCCAACAGCACAACACGGCCCAAACTTACAACACTTGCATAAAAATCAGACAAAAGCAGCCTTTAGACTTACCTTTTGCTACGTTTTTCGTCACTGCTCCAATGATATTCACGATATTCAGGTGCCGACCAAGATGAATCAGTATCTTCAGCTCGGCCATCAATGCCTTGCGTTGAGACATATCGGCTCGTTCTGGATACAAAAAATAATGCAATAATAGAAGGTAAACAAGAGAAAACAAATTACGTACACTATTCAATGGGTATTTTTGTCAATAATGATCCGTTTCTTATTGGCACCTACAAAAATGTCAAGGCTTACCTTTGAGCATCTTCACAGCAACTGTGAGCGGCTGTCCCTGGTCGCCGAGACCAATGGCTTCAGCCTTGACGACCCGGCCAAATGCGCCTTGTCCCAAGGTCCTTCCTGCAGACACCAGAATGCGTCAGCGCTCGAAATGAGCTGATAATTAGGTATATTAAAAAGGCCCTCCAACACGTTCAGAGCATATATTCAGAGAACGCTGCCGAGTGGTAGTCAGGGCTACCGAGAACATGCATGCCAAATATTATAGCACCGCGTGTGGCCTGGAGCTGACAATAAATTTTCGAAGTCAGCTGAAAATCTTTTATCTCGAAAAGTGATGCTAAGTGTATATACTAAAAAATAATTGCGCCATATGCTCGAATATCCCGCCATTGGCTGATTTGAACATGTAGTAATCGGGAGTTGCTGGGGCCGCCGCGGCAGGCCGTGAGGTGTCCGTGCGAGCGATCGCAATCACACTGAAAAGCCGCACATTCAAAGAAAAAAAAGAGAGAGAGAAATGTTGAAGGTCACGAGGCATGCGTGGCCTACCCTCTTTCCCCGTCCCTCCCCACTTAGCTTTTAGTGCTTTCGTCGGGACGAGAAAAGAAAGTAATTGCGGCGTGCGACATATATTTCTAAGTCCACCCGTACTGAATGAATTTTAAATATTTGAGGCTATGAATTCGTGAGGCAACAAGCTCTTTTAGTGAACACATTCCATGGCTACTTGAAGAAGTGTTGCAGAGCCCCTTGATGCTGCGTCAATTTTTTTTCTATCCAGAAAACAATCGGGTAATAAGTTTATGGGTTTAACTACTAATTTATTTCACTTTAAATGTATTCAGTACACATTTTTTTAATCCAATTAAAATGCTGCTGCCCTACATACCCCCATTTGATAAATATATTACACGCGCCGTTTGTTCTCACGAGGACAACAAAAACAAATTAATTTCATCAAACGTCGATCAGGAATTTCCCCATCAGGCATGTCATGACGCAAGGTACGAAGCTAAATATATGAACATTCAATTAAGGAAGCACATTGAAAGCATCGGAGAACATGCTCAAGTCCCGAAACTAAGTTGCACTGCTCAGTTGACGAAGGCAGCCCTTCACAGGCAAGCAATATGGCTGTGACCTTGACACGTACGGTGTGCCATAACAGACATATTCACTTTTATGAACGCCTTCAGTGTAACGGTGGTTACATCGGGACGCCTGTTTGGAAACATTAGTCCATTTGGTTGACCCGAAGCTCATGACTGTAAGCCGCCGCAAATGGTGGCTAGAACGCTATGGTGGTGGCAGCGAGGCAACGTACGTTGCGGCCAAATGAAAAAGTGGTCCGCGCACCGTCTCGTGTGAATAATTAGAATAATTAGCGCAATGACTAGCTGAGCGGCTGGCCTCTGCACACACGAGACAGCTGGTCATTTCGTGCACGTTGTCTCCTTGAGCCTAGTGTTGGACGTCATGTTGTAAGTTTTGGAGACACGTTGAAAGCGAGTGGTATAAACGCGATACACTTGTGCACTTCTTTTCACACGGTTTATCACGCCAGCCTTGTCGCTGGAGTGCGTGTTCTCGGCCATAGAAAGAGATGTGCTCGTGTTTATCTGTGCGCGTGTAACATGACGTTTAATAACTTGATTATTAAAAGATCATTTATTATCATATACAGAGCTAATAGAACCATTGGTAATGCATTATGTATAGTTGTCCGATTCACTGATGTGGCTATCAGTACTTCTCCTTTAGGGAGAGATTGACTTTCTTCTAATTATTAACGCTACTTATTTTTGGGCAACCAAGGGCTCTTACGGTTCTAACCCACGACTTTCTGCTCATCCCCCCAAAAGGTTATGGAGATTCATTTACAGATGCATCTGCGTACCGAGTTTGAGTCGATCCTTTGGAAACTCCCAACGCTGGTCGTAGGGCAACAGCTCTACCTGCTCGCACAGGGGGAGGTCAGGGTTGAACATGTCCACTTGGCCTTTGTCGAAAAGCGTCTTGTTCAACAGCTCCATCTCTTTTTCCTCTTTCTGTTGTAAGAAAAATGAAATTAGGCGGGCTAGTAAGTTTCTGCACATTTATTGAACATGGGAGTCTTGTAAACTGACCTATGAAATCTCTGCTTTCTTTTCTTTGATGACAAACATAACAGGGCCCCGTAAAAACAATCTTATGCTATAGCTATTCGTAAGAAAATGAGATTCAACTGATTTGTAATGTTGAACTATCAGCAAATGTGGTCCACCAGTGGAAGAAACTACTGATGAACGAAAAAATTTGTGAATTAAGCCCTCCCGGGGTCAAACGAAGATTGTTTGACGACCATAAGTGATAATTTTTTTGTACGTTGCCCCCATTTCAACTAAAATGTTCATTGCCAGGGCCGGCTGGAACTTCTAATGACGAAGAATTTTACAGCAAAAACTTCATTTGAATATAGCATCCCTGACTGCTAGAGGTAATAAGGAAAACAAACGTTTTCTCGAGCTCCGTTATAAAAACGTATTGCCGAAACGTCAGTGCAACATTACACATTATAAAATTAAAAAAAAAGAATAAGGCGTCTTATAAAAAAATTACGGCATATTCACGGGGTGAATGATGATGAATGGGCGAAGCTCCGGAGGGATTCATCGGTAAACTGTGAATCTTCCGTGTAATTCGCCCAGTCGATCATCATGTAAAGACGTGAGAAACGCTGTGTGTGTATATACACAAATCAACTTTTATTTGTTCTTAGACGATGGATGGCTTGCGATGTCCCTTGCCTCGCGCGCTCGCACATCGGGATTCTGTCTGCGAGCGCGCGCTGCTGCCGCCTTGCGCTCTCTCCGCTGTGCAGCCTTATCCATCCGGCAACTCCGAGCGCGCGCCAACAGCGAACGGATTTTATTACAACGCTCCCCCTAGCGTACGTCGCCGCACTAAATCGAACGATTGCCTTCAACCAATGACACGCGCCATATGTGACATCATTCCTATTTTATAAGATCTCGCATCTTTCATCAACTACAAGTACCGCTTTCTAGTTTATAACATCTTGCATCTTTTCATCATCAGCTACAAGTACCATCATCTAGTAAACACTACAAGAACTAAACGAGAGGTGGCTACATACAGGAGACGTTACCGCCATCTAGTGAACACTGCAAGAACTAAACTATAGGTGGCTACATACAGGGGACGGTACCGCCATCTAGTGAACACTGCAAGAACTAAACTAGAGGTGGCTACATACAGGCTACAGGGGACGCACAGCCCACGCCCTAAGGAGCTTCGCCCCTAAAAGGTTTTAAGACTCCGTAAGTTGGCTCTTAGGTTGTGACCGGAAGCATTAACAATAGTTAATCGACGAAGCGCGTTTACAATCAAGGATAAAAGAAGGGACCCTTCCCTTGTCCTTGATTCTAAACTCGCTTCGTCGATTATATATGTCTTACCAACATGCCCAACTTTATACTCTAGTCAAATAACAATAGCTTTCGGCCAACCGAAAATTGCATAGAGCTTTATTTCAGTTCGTAATCAGCTAAGGCACAATTAATGGGCGTCATACTCATTCTGAAATTTAGAACTCAGAATGGCGCATGACGTATATTTTGTGTAGAAGGTGGTGGCTTATTACTTGACGAAATCTGTGAAAACCTAACGGTATTCATTTGACTAGTTAAGTGGAAGGCCAGGCATAGATAGGTATAGCTGTACTCACCATGTGAGCGCGATATTTTTTGCAGTAAACCAGCACGATGAGGAAGCAGATGATGGCAATGACAAAGACGACGCTTATCAAGACAATGTGCGTGGTATTCATGGCAGGTGCCGGTATTCCTGAAAGAGTAAGAAATTGTCACGCAATTCTGCCTATTTTAACGTGGTTGCTTTAAATCCGTATATACAATCAAAATCGACGATATCAAGCTTTATTAGCAATCAAGAAAGCTCAACGTAAAAAACCAGCTTGTGGGTCAAGTACGATTAACATAGAAAGTCATAGAAAGACGGTACATCGAAGTAGCTTTCGTAACGTTTTTTGTTTAGACTATAGTGATGACAATCTCAGCGTATTACATGTTTTACTCAAACCTAAATTTGATTGAAGTCAACTATACACCTTATATAAACCGGAACTTCGCAGGGCACATCATGCTGATGGGCTATTATACCGTGCATGCACTTGATACCCCGCAAACGCCACAAACACGAAGCGAAAATGAACGTGCAGCTCGCAAATCTCGAGCCACGAGGTGCGCGTTGTTGTGCCATAGTTCCTGCCAATCGGGCAACCATTCTTCCCACAGGGAGAACAGCTGGCCGCTGGTGTTCGGGCGAACTCTCGTCTCCACCCATCGACGCCGTTACGCTGCAGTTCCAGAGAATAGGTCCGTCTTCGACTTAACTGTGGCGGCCTTTGACGAAGTGCCCCGGCCGCGTATGAGTAATTCCTCGTACTGCGGGAATCCGACTGTTTTGGACAGTTCCATGTGTCGTGCATGCCTTACCACGATCGGTCGATGACCCAAGGGCGTAGCAAGATGTCTTAAAGTGGGTGGACGACGTGGACCTCGAGCGCCGTAGAGAAGATACGAAACAATTGGACTTATATGTTAACGCCGTGCCGACCCTTTGTTGAGGGAGTCGCCCCAGCCGACTCTCTCGACCTTGCGGGAATTCGTATTCAGCTAACCCTGCTACAAGCTGCAATGAACGTTGTTACCGTTTTTTTTTAAAGCTGGCCTCCAGATTCGATCTCGGAGCGAAAGTCCAACGTCTCCTATATCGGCTAGTCAGCATTGACGCTCACTACAACACGCTGACATCGTTACCTAGCGAACTTCGTATTAGTGGCGACAGCAGTAGGATACTGACCCGCTGAACTTTGTAAAAGCATGTGTTAATGTGACTTGTCATGTAATTTCAAGCCAACGCGGGCTCTTCGCTCAATTAAAGTCACGTTCGTATAAGAGGTCTTTCGCCTTAGAAATTTGCAATGAGGTACGTGAAAAATATTGCGCGCCCGCTGGAACAGCCTAAACAAGTGGACCTAATCTCACATGCCCAAAAGGAAAACTCCAACAGGTGACAATTTCTCAAACCAACTGCAAAGTGCTTACGAAGACACGGACGAACGGAGGAACACGAGCGCTTCCTGTCATCCATCTGCTGCAGTCACCACATGTCACTCCAACAAGACCGCACATTAGTGTTGGTCTATTTCTCGGGGGTCCCATACGCGAGTAGTGGGTGTATACGTACCACTGGCGACGTTGATGGTGGTGTTGGCATAGATGGCACCGGCCCTGTTCTCGGCACGACACTGGTAGAAGCCGCTATCCTGGGGCGTCACCTTCCGCTTGACGAGCCAGCGGCCCTCGTCGAGGCGGTCGATGCCGCTCATGTTGAGCGGCTTACCGTCCTTCAGCCACGAGATGCTGGGTTCGGGAAGCCCGGTCGCCGTGCACTGCAGGTCGATGTACGAGACGTCGCTCAAGACGTCGTTGCGTAGGTTGGTCTTGTTGAACTCCGGTGGACGCATATCTGTGCAGGAATTGCGAACCAGAAGAGGCGGCAAAAGTAAAGTAGCTTTTCGTTGTTGCCGATCGTCTGAATCTAAGCACACCTAGAAAATAGTAAAAATGCTTGGCAACATGCACATATCCCTGTGAAAGTACACACGGGTGAAAGCAGTTCACGTGTGCTTTGTCACAGTGCATGAAACCTATTCACCTCATAGAGTGAACAAGATTGCTTGTTCAAAGATATTCCGGGCATTCAAAAAGAAAGAGTACTGACTGCGCCTGAATTTGCAATTATCGTCAACTTGCCCTTTCACCAGTAACGTTTAACGATATGGCGTTATGCAAAGGGAGGGAGTCGACATTGTGTTCTGTTTAGATTGTAAGCTGCCAGCTTTTGTCATCAGTGTAGCACAAAAAGAACAAGTACAAAAGGAAGAACAAGACAATACACAAAGCGTACATGTGCCCTTCACGCATCATTTTTAACATACTGCTGAAAGACTGGTCATTTATAAATCTCACGGTAACATTTGTAAGGTCACGTGGAGCCTGCGTGCAGACGGTAGGCGTTCGCTTCAAGGTCTTGTTGCCCTTTTTGCAGCTTTCACGAATGCAATCCAGCAAGAACAACTCGCACGGAGCCGTACCTCGCACGTCAACTTTGATGAATCCGATGTGCCTCTGAACTCCTCCTCCACGAATGGAGCCAAAGCACTGGTACTCTCCTGACTGGTTCTTGCTGATATGGTTGAAGTGAAGGGTCAGGTTGTTGGAGAACGCCGTCGATGACATCTTTACGTCAAGATTGTCTGCACGAATGGCCAACAATAAGCTCACCACTTAAGGGTACCGAAGTATTGCGCCATCTGCTAAATTCACACTATCTAAAATCTCACGTGTCCCATCTGCTGTAGGGGCAGACTGAAATGCTGAAGCAAGAGACCGAACTATAGGCGAAGGTACAATCTCAATGATCGTCGGGGACTCAGCAGTTATGGATTGATTAATCTATAGATCCATCGGTTGATCGATTCAGTGAATAAATTTTCTGATTGATTGAATGATTGATTGATTGTGGACAGAAAATGTTGGCAGCAATCTTTATCACATCGTCGGTTTCTCTAAAAGTACAACTTATTAGCCTCTGCCTCAGACTTGTCACACGTTACAAGTGTATGGAACAGTCATTATAAAAAAAGCTACTGATGGACCACGATACTGCAGCGCCATTACCATTGGGGATGAGGCTGACGAGTTGCGAGGAGCCTCTTGGTTTCCACTTCCAGGTGAGGCCCTCGTACTTGAACTGGCTGGCCAGGCAGCTGAGCATCACACGATCCTGGTCGACGGGTATGACGTCTGAGGCGATAACCTCGAAGCCGTTCCTCGCGTCTGCGTGATTACGCAGACAGGCATCAATAAAAAGACCAGGAGAGGATAAGCTCTGACAATCAAGACAGACTAATAATAAAGGATATATCTGTAAATTAGGGCACGTCAAAAACAAAAGCTGTGCAAAAAGCAGAAAGCATTCTATCATATGAAAGGAATCAAATTCACCGTAAATGACAACAAATAGCATGCAAGCCCTGAAATTAAATCTAAACCGTAATGTAAGTATGTATGCAAGGCTTGAAAGTAAAACTGAATTGTAATATACGTATATAGTATAAGCAAGCTCACAGAACTATCTCTATCATGAAAGGGGCAAGTCGGTCCTCAGTATACTAGAGCAAACCATCTTGTAGGATTGGCCAAGAAAAAATCACGAATGGAAGTTTCGTATTGTAAGTAGTAAATCAATACAATAAAAAAGTGGTTTATCATAATAAATTTATGACCTTCGTGATACGGAGGTAAGAGGATAATCAAGAAAGTAAATCAGGGAATATTACATTGAGATGATACAAATACTAGCTGAAACAAATATTTATTAAAGCCAACATACGCCAGTTGCTTTTCCCTTTTGTCCACCGAGAAAGTTCCTCTTGCACTTTTCCGCATTTTTTAAATTACATTACGACATTCGCTTGGGGTTTCCGTCTCTTTTTTCGCACAAATTAGGTTTTGTTTTTAAGCATGCCCTGAGAACATGCTTCAAAATTTACAGCACGAACGCCATACGTCGCTGCTGGAAGCTTTTACATAAGATGCGAACCCACCAGTGACGTAGAACCTTGCGACGCTGAGTCCGGTGCCGAGCGAGTTTGCCGCGACGCACCGGTACAGGCCAGACTGTTGGGCGCGAAGCATAAGGGTCAGGTTGCGGTGCCGTAGTCCCTCAGTGCTGCGCACCAGATGCCCCGGTGGGGCGCCAGCGTTCCTGTGCGAGCTGTCGGCTGCCAAACGCTTGAAGACGCGGCCAGGACCCTGGTCGTCGCATGCCCTAGGGTCCACGCACTCACGCCACTCCCACCAGGCACGCAACGGCTGGCTCCCTTTTACCGTGCAGACCAGCGTGTAGTTGGAACCGTGTGCATAAAGCTCCGTGTTGTTCACCACTGTCACCGTGGGCTTGGCTGTGCAGGACGACAGAGCGCAGAAGCAAGCAGGTCATAAGCAACTAAAAGTCACCAGCAAGGACAGTTCCTTCACTGTAATCTACTCGTTTGTAACTCATCATGTAGCGATGCGCAGGGCTTGCTGCATGCTGTCACACACGGTGCGCACGTTTGTTGCGTGAAACACACACACAAATGCACCCCCCCCCTCCCCAAAGGGGAGGGGGGGGGGTGCATTTGCGAATGCATTTGCGAAAATGCGAATGCATTTCTTGCGCCGAGTACGAGTACCATTGCCGTCAAGCATTCGCCTTCAGCGACTTCTGCCATTGCCTTGAGATTCACCCAGCCACCGAACAGTCGAGAGTGAGGAGTGAGCGGACGGGAGAGTAGGGTGCCAGCGTTCTCGGCTCGGCGTTTCACATCGGCTTCTCGAGCACACATTTCCGGATGTTCTCGAGAGGTGTTCTGCCAGCCAAGGGTTGAGAGTGAGGCGCCAGAAGACGGGGGCGTGAGGCGCAGGGAAAAGAGAAAGCGAACGGCGAGAGAAGGAGCAGCAAAGCACTGCACATATACCCTCTCCTACACTTTCTCCCATCACATGCTCCGGTTGCTAGGGGCGAGAATAAGCACGCGCCCTTGCAGCTATTGCTATGGGAGAGGAAGTGAGAGCGAAGAGATATCACCTGCAGGCGCGCATACAACGCCGGATGCCTGACATAGCCCGAGTAAGAAATGCATTTGAATTTAAAACACATTTTGATTTGCACGATTTGTAAGTTGAAATAGTAAATGTTGCCAAGTAGAACTCCACCGTTTTACTGGCAATGATAGTTTTTGGAATACATTCAGAACCATGTAAAATAAACTGAAGCGATTTCATTAATGTAACGAATTCGAAACAGGTGTGCCCGCTGAAGCTTTGTAGCACAAGCGTCTCAGTCACATATGCACCAAAATAAACAAAGAAATCACGTTAAAGGTGGTTCATGGGACAGAACAAAGAGAACGTCGTCAGATGCCTAAACAAAAGTGCCAAGCAGTACAGTATACACCACTGCGTGCCTAAAGTAAAGTTATGTACACTTATTTACTAATTATTTAAGTTGCTTTGATGTCATTTGAATGAAAGTGAGTCCTATGCCAAAATCTTATTTTTTGTTATTTTAGTGCACCTTAAGTAACACCACGCTGCTAAAACTAAACCCGAGTGATCCGCCAGCGTAACAGACTTCAAAAGCCAAAGCACCGGTAAAACCTCCGGCAATCAAAAATAACACATGAAATGGTTAGTTTCATTCTTTGAGCACAATCAACGTCTTACTACTCTTCCTTTGCCATCTTCCGCAACTTCGTGCGGAGACGCTGATAAAGATGCCAACAATAACTGATTGAGTTCAACTTATCTTGAGCAAATTCTTTCTTTAGCTAGGTAGCGCATTTACTCACCCTGTACGAGCACTGACTAGCTGTTGGTTAGCCTTCACTGAGAGACAATCAATGCCGACTGATGCTAGTTTTATCTGTTTTTATAACAACAAGAACACACTCTTCCTTGGACCTCGATACATTGATGGGCTTTTCGTTCTTTCTTGAAGCCGACAGTGAAGCAATACGTCAAACGTGGTATGCTCACACGAGATGCTGACGTTGAAGGTGATCTTGGAGGTGACGTTGTGTATGCGTGCGAACAACGTGTACTCGCCGCTGTCGTCGAAGCGGGCGTTGGACTTTTCGAGCACAGCTCGCGGTTCGCGGTACGAGAGCCGCAGCTCCCCGCCATGGTAGAGCGTGGCGCCGTCCTTGAGCCACCAGAAACTCGTCTCGGCGAAGCTCGGGTGCGCCTCCACTGTTACCACCATCTTGAAGGTGCCCCCCTCGGGAAAGACCAGGGAGTCCGAGGTGTCCAGGTCCGTGGTCAGGTTCACGTGCGCCAACTGTTCGGACTCTGCACACGGACGAGAAGGATCGGGGTTGGCATCGTCTACTACCGCAATTTACTATACGATGAGGTGTAAACCAGAACTCGCGCGCTTATAGTTGTGCTGCCGTCAACGGGAATAAGAGATATTTCGTAGGACTACAAGTTGGAAGTCACTTGAAACCGACACTTCGAATCACGGACGCCTAAAAGTGTTGTAAAAAGAGCGAAGTTGCAACTGACAGAAGCCTACGTTTTGGTATGTGTACATATGTTTGTCACATTTAGTAAACAAGATCACGGGATCTTGAACCATAGTTTCCTACATTAATAATGCCACAGAAGCCTTTCTGAGCCTCTTGAAGACCACCGGAGTTGGCAAGCATCTGTGAACTGCAAGCGAGTTGTCATGTTGTGTATTCACAAACACTGCTCATTCATTCTTTTCTCAATCTCGTTCTTTCTTCTCTATCCTACCTGTTATTTCCCCTCCACATGCCCCCCCCCCCAACACATGTATAAGGTAGCCAACAGAGATAGAGCTTGATTAATCTCAATGCATTTCTCTTCATTTCTCTCTCTTTCTCGGTGTGTTAGTTTTCAACAATTCTGGGATGATTTCAAGTGAATCCAATGTCAACGGCAATGGGCTATTATTTGGAATGTTTATAGCGATTGCCAAGACTGTATAAAACTGAGTTTTGAGCTACGTTTGGAAATTTGCATGCATCTGCGCTACAGTTAGCTCTCATACCGTGTTCCACAATAAATCACGTTCAGCGTGCCCAAATACTAGGCTGCAAATGTACTTTCCATTTACGTAATTGCTGACGCTGTTCATACAGAAATACCCTCTCAAGAAATTGTCAAAGGGCTCACGCACTCAACTGCTAGAGTGTCGAAATTCACGTGTGAGCGTATATGTTATACGTTGAACCTATATCGAACGCTTTCAATTGCTTCTTATGACCTCGTACGAGCACCAATACCAAACCAGTTGAGCGCGTACAAACGTACGCATTATGAAATATGTTGCTAAAGCAGCAAGGAGGCGTGACTGCGCTTAAGTCATGTGAAAAGGTATAAAAAAAAGTTAAACGAGAAAACAAATTAAAAATGAAGAAAACTTTGACACTGAACCCACGCGGCCCCCAGCGAATATACGCATATACAATAACGAGCAAACGCCGACTCCTGGTCAAAGGTCACGCGGGGCGTCTTTGGGGCGATAGCCGTCGCGGAGTGCATTAATAATGCTATCTGACGTCAAGGTGTCGCAAGACTACGGGCTAAGTGCGACCACCAGCTTTTCCAGAGGGCTTGACGGGAGGGCCATTCCTGAAATCTGCTCCGCTTGAAAGCCGTGTCCTTCGTGAATAGAATATGGCGATGAACGATCCCACTTGAAAAGCTGGTGAAACCACGGGAAGTGTGACTTTCTCAACTCTCAGCTTCTTTTTTTTTCTTTTCTTAAGTTGATGGACATTTATACCCCTTACGAACCATAACAATGATTTCCAACGTTTACCAAAAGGTGGCCGAGGTGATATAAGAGTAAAGCGCACTTTGAATTTTTAAACGTTGATGTAATCAAGCATTTGCAATAACTTTGAATGAATGAGCATCTTATTCTCGTCTGGACACTTGCGTAAGATAAGTTTAGGCAAAGGTGTACAAGGCTCGTCTTCGTAGGCCTGTCTGCCTGTCTGTTTTGGGGTGCGCTGCAGTCACGTTTGCAAAGGAATACCATTTAGCCCGTACGCACACCTTGTTTCTGTATATAAGGACCGTACGCCGTTAGTACTTATCAAGTAGTATATTTTGGCACGTCTGCGCTAGACATTTGCAAATTTTCGTAACCGGAACAACAACAGGACCAAAATGTAACGGAGAAGTTGTGCAGGAAAATGATACAAGCGTAGTGGACCTTCATTTGATATCTCTCAGTTCCCAAACATAAGTTTACAGTGCTCTGAGTGATACGTGGTATTTGTAACTGCCACTTAGATGTGAAAGGTCTTGTGTGTCTATAAAAAAGCCTGACTTTATTTAAAGAAATCGAAAACACAGAATTGTAACTCGGCGCATAGCCTTTATAATTTTGTCAATGCTTACCCCTTTTAGTATAAAAAACTCCATGCTCAAGCGACATATAAACCATCGTTAGTTGCGCAACTAAACAGGGCACACGAGCTTGCTAATGTTTAAAGGTGTGAGTCTTCCCTCAATAAAATCAGTTGTTAGTATGCGCCTTTACTTGTCTGTTCCTTCTCATGTGTCCTGTTAGTTGCGCAACTCACGACGGTTTCTATATAAAAACACCAATTCGCCCAACAGTCAACTCTTTAAACGTTCACGCTTAAGTGCAGCGCAACAAAACTGTAGGAACGTTAAGAACTTTAGGGCTCAAAGCGCCGAGAGGGTCTTGACTCTCTTACCGTAGACGGAGACAAAGACCGAGTGATTGTGCGTCTTTCCACCATGATCCTTGCAAGAGCACGTGTAAAGCCCTTCGTCGCTCCTCTGCACGTCACGAACGGTCAGCTGTGACGTCACCACGGACAGCATGAAGTGATCTTGCCCAAACGGCTTGTCGTTCCGAATGGGCTTGGTGACTTCGATGCGGGAGCTCTGGAAAAAGGAGATGCAATGTGCTGGGTTGTGCGGACGAGAGATCAAGACGTGCGCTTGTTTTTAATAATGACATCGGAGCTGTTCTCAGTCGAGGATTCAATGTGCGGGGGCCGTCGTAGGTCGGAAATGGGTATGTGCCACTACTCACAACTCCGACAATTCACGACTACACCCACCCCTATTAGGTGACTGAACGAAAATATTTCATTACGCATGCATCAAGCATCTCATTCAATTATTGTAATGACCTGTTCATCGTGTCTGTCATACAGTATTGCCCTCCCATACAAACATTTGTATGTGTCATATTTAGAGGACGACCTCGAGAGCGCCCAGGCATAAGGCTAGATAGAAATGCTCAAAGTGCTTCAAGTTTGCAAAGAAATGTTCCGAATTAATACAGTACGAAAGGGTCTCGGGGCCGACAATTGCTCCAAATCTGTAACTCTTCTCGGTATTCGCAATAGTTGAATTACTTAACTAAGGCTATTAAACAGTGTTGTGCAAATGATGACGCGGACACATAGGAAGAGACCAGTGTGCTACTTAGAACTGATTTACTGACAGGAGAGAATGTGCGTATTTATAAGTGTATTTGTATGCGTACGCATGATACGAAGAAAGTGAAACACGTATATCCTTTCCAGCCAGCAAATAACTTGCAAGTAGCGCACCGTTTATCTTGGTTGCTCCTTGTGTCCGTGTCGTCCTTTGCGTAATGCTATTTCATGTAGCCTGACTGAGCCGCCCAAACAGCCACCAGAACTTACGTTCTTGTTGGGGTAGTCCCAGGTCATGATGAACATGATGCCTGCTTCGACGGTGACGGTGCAGTTGAGGGTGAACGAGTCATTCAGCACAGGATGAAAGTTGTTCTCCTTCGAGATCAACACGTTGGGGGCTATGTCCACCGGTGCTGCAATTTGTTTAGTGTACAAAGGGAGGGAACAGAAAGGGAGAGAACGATTCGTACACTGTTTTTCCTTCGGAGGCTATGCTTTCGATCGCACAGAAAACTTTATTATTAGAGAGCGTGCTACTTTTTGCAGCCTGTCTCACGCACCAGAGGCATGCCTAAATTAAATTTATGTTTACATGATTTGGACTCAGTAAACTTGTTACAAACCAAGCATTTCCACAGTGCCGGCCATCTCTACAAACATTAGTTCTACATTGCCTGTCATCCTAATTGACCTTGCATGCAGCGAAATTTCTCGCGTGATTGTAGGATGATGAACTCAGTGCAGCACTCTACCAGGGCACGTCCCCTGGCCAAGAGCCAGAAAACTCGGACTCAGATATTTTGAATTCTCCCTCTTCTTTTCCCCACGCGCAGTAGCCCGTCAGCGACTTCTATATGCCGGCCACACCTCTGCCTTTCAATAAAGAGTTTGTCGCTTTCTCTGATTGATATGTGGGCTTTAACTTCGCAAAAAAACCATATGATTATGAGAGACGCCGTAGTGGAGGATCCGCGGTTTTAGACCACCCGGGGATCTTTAACGTGCACCCAAATCTGAGCACATGGGCCTACATCATTTGCGCCTCCATCGGAAATGCAGCTGCCGCAGCTGGGATTCGATCCCGGGACCTGCGGGTCAGCAGCTGAGTACCTTAGCCACTAGACCACCGCGGCACGGAAACTTTTTCTCTCTGGCTCTCATGTTCACACTCTCGGAAAGGAGCGTACGTAAATGCCCCCCCCCCCCCCAATACCTCTATTTCTTTCTGCCATTTCATTCTGTGCTCTCATCTTCTAGTGTGACTACCACTTTGGAGTCAGTAGCTCGTTCTGGACAGTCGCAGTATGGTAGGTAGTAATTTTTTATTTACCTCATCTTTATACGCATTTCCTAATATAAACAGTTAAGATACAACACGTAACAGCGTGCTACACTCACGCAGGTAGACGAAAACGACGGCCATGGTCGAGTCGTTGTAGACGCGTCCCGGCACCGATCCGTTGCAGATGAAGTGACCGGAGTAGTAGCTGTGCGGGTAGTAGATGACGAAGCCCCGCATCGGGTCGAACTCGACATCGTGCGGTGCCAGCATCACCTCCTCCATCTCGTCCTCGCCCAGTCCATCATCTTTCCAGAGCTGGACGCGAGCGCCCGAGTGCGTGGGCAGGCATGGCACCACCGACATCTCGCCGTGGCGTACCGTCACAAACACCAGCTGGTCCATCTGTTTCTCCGGCTGGAACAGGTAGTAGTCATCTGCGAACAGTAAGGATACGAAATGTGTTTAAAGGGACAATAAACAAAGCAGCATTTTTGTAAAATGCATAGCAGCTCTTTGACTAGCCTGTGTAACGCTGTCCCGTACGTCCACACAAAGCCCCTTGCCGCAGGTGTTGGAGCGGTGCCAAATAGGTCAAGTAGCAGCTGCGCGTTGACCTCACTCTCTCCTTCACCCGCAGCAGCTGCCGGCCCCTAAGCCCGCTCGCAACATCCTTCTCTCTCGATTCACCCTTTCCACCACCCGCAACGCTCGACCACACGTCGAGTGGAAACATTATAATAGACAGTTTTAGTTGCACGTCCGCAGCAGCCGTACTGACGCGGCCTGTGATTGAAAATGGCTATCAGGCTGCGTCCGTACGCCTGATACGGACGGGCAAATAAATCCGTCCAGTCTTTAGGCTCATTTATCTAAGATGGAACTCACACGAGACCCGACCCACCTCCCGTGTCCTTGTGCTTCAAACAAACGTTTACCCGAGTAAAAAGTACGCCAAGTTTTGTTTCAAACCATTCTTCCAGCACCCGCATCAACGCCCGTTTCAACCGAATCAACGCCATGCGCACCGCTGCTACTTCGCATCCCATCAGGGTTACCTTGGGGGAGATGTTTCATATTTTTTCTCATATAAATAATTTAGGAATTCAAGATTCCGATATCACCACTATTGCCGGGAGCAGACTCTCGGGAACCACAAAAAAGAAGCGAAAGAAATTGCAAGTGGCGATGTCATGTTGGAATTTTGGCGCCACTACGTCAACCACTACGTCCTACCTCTTTCCTAAACAGTAAAAAAGAAGTATATGCCCCTGTGAGGGGCCATAAACTTAACATAGCAAGTTTCAAAAATTTCCTTCAGTTAATGTTGCCAAATACGAAAAATACACTTGAAATTTGTGGCGTCTCGTGCGGCAATTTCGGCACACGAAATTTAAAAATGAATCGTTAAACTTACTTGTATCCTCTATCAACAAAGCTGTGATAGTGAAATTAACTAGATTAGAGTTCTAAGAGCGAAACTTGAGGCTCAGGCGATTTATTGTTGCGCTTTAGTGTCCCTGTAAGACGTTTGACATTGTTCCTATCTCCGCGATCAAGCCACATTGAAAAATGAAATATATTTTTTAACGATTTCAGCCCAAGATGAACCCTGCTGGCTTATGCGCGTGGTGTTGGCTTTACCAAGTTATGTGAAACAGCTCTTTTGGCAATGCGTTAGTGCTAAAAACAAACCTGGAGACTTACAAAGTGGATTCTGCTTAAATTGAGGATGACGCAGCGAGCAATGGAAAGGAAAATGGTAGGTGTAACCTTGAGAGACAAGAAAAGAGCAGAGTGGATCAGCGAACAAACCGGGGTTAAGGATATTATAGTTGAAATCAAGAAGAGGAAATGGACAATGGGCCGGGCATGTAACGCGTAGACAGGATAACCACTGGTCATTAAGGGTAACTAACTGGATTCCCAGAGAAGGCAAGCGGGTTAGGGGGAGAAAGGAGGTTAGGTGGGCAGATGAGATTGAGAAGTATGCGGGTGTAAAATGGCAGCAGCAAGCACAGGATTGAGTTGACTGGCAGAACATGGGAGAGGCCTTTGTCCTGCAGTGGACGTAGTCAGTCTGATGATGATAATGACGAAGACGATGATGATGATGATAGTGATGACGACGATGATGATAGTGCTAAAAAGACAAGGTGTTCTTACGATTACAAGTCCATCATGACCATCGCGTTTTCCTAGTAACATGAGGTACTGTTGCCACTGGTTAAGTTACAACAACTGCTATGAACAGTGACCGTTAAGTTACAACGCTGCTGAAAACTAAGCTGTTTTTGCCCATAGCACGATGTGTACCATCTGCGTAAGGTGGTGCAACTTGATGAAGCAGGAAGCACACGAAGCTGCGATACGCCCTTGTGCGCGTGGTCTCCTGCATATTGAAAGCAATCTTGTTTTTGTTTATACGATTGCATATAACGGTAAAAGCGTCAAACACCTTGTGTTGCATCAGCCTTCGACTTGGTAAACATCATGTGGCATTAAGAACACTATACACCCGTATAGGCCCGAAAATACGCAGCTGGTGCTCTCTGAGCATCCAAAAGCTGGTGCTGGAGTGGCATGGGAGCACCTATGTACGCCATGAACGCAAAATATTCCGCAAGTATCTTAAAGCAAAAGGCGGCCTGTGCGCGGATTCAGAACGCAATAAAAGCACCCACCATTGACGAAGACGTATACTGACGTTGCATTTCCCGAGTTGGTGAGATCTGTGGTCCCGTTGTAGTAACAGATGTATCGACCCAGGTCCATGACGTCAGTGGTGTTGAGCTCGAAAACGCTCTTGAACGGCCGAATGCCGTTCACCTCTTCATCATAGATGGATGAGCGGAGAGACACGTTGTCCTGAAAAAACATAAACGAAAAGGGTGGAACTAGAGTTGGCTCGAGCAATACGTATATTGCATGGCGAATGCGCGATAGATAACAACGCGTTCTTTTGTATATTTGTGCGTTTTTATTAGTGCGCAAGCACGATGAGAGTTTTGAAGCAACAAGCAATATAGACAGATATACATACAGGCGTCACACATTTCATTCGTATAGGCAAAACCACCATTGTGCCAAGGCTTTCTAATAATTCTTGCCATTTCGTTCGAAAGAAGTATGTGTGCTCGTGTTTTTTTTTTTCATTGACGCTTATTTGTTGAAGATAACTGACATTTCAGAAGTCATTATATTGATATCTCACCGCCAATAAACTGCAAACTATACTCGAAGGTGGAGCTGTTCCGGATTTTAACTGCATTCTGGGGACACAATTTCTAAAAAGACACAGATTATTCTATTTGCGCAGTCAAAGGTTATTATTTCGTTTACTACCATTTTACCGCGTGTTCCTTTCTCACTTTGTTTTTGGTAGCCCAGCTCTTATGGAAGCCTAATTAAATAGACTGCATATATAGTTCATTAACCCTCATAGCTCACCATTTGTAGAGAGGGTGGTGTGCTTAGTGCGCCAAGGAAGAACACCGTGACATAACTTTAGTTTCGCAGTTTTTCTGGACAACGTAAAGAATGCACAAGATCTGCGTATGCAGAGTGCAATAAATCAGCGAACAGCCGTCGCAGCGTGCATTATCCACTGTATACAGAGTTATCGACCTTGGTATAGGATCTGTATCAATGCTTCGATCCGTCGAACGAATTACAAGACAACGCCAGGGATTTTAATGCGTATTTGTTGGGTCTCGACGAATCTGCCCCATCAGCGCCGTAAAAGCCTTGTCTCGACCACCGAGCAAGGTTATGTACACTTTCCCTGCCTGGAAGCCCAGAGTCTCAGTCAGAGATAAAACGCAGTCACTGATTTGTCAGCCGCGGGATATTGTGGTAGCATGCTGTGAGGAAGGTTTTCAGTGAGACATCGGAGCCGAAGGCCATCGTCGAGCCACTCTACAGCTTCAGTGAGTCGGAAATGTGAGATTACGAACGCAAGTAAACAGTACGCGCAGGTCTTCGAATTCGGGACAATCTGAACATTGAGGAACTCACAGAGGCCAACATGGAAATTCGTACTCCATGCAGGGGCATAGCCAGAATTATTTTTTCAGAAGGAAGAAGGAAAAGATTTCTGCCACATTTGTTTGTACGATCGTTTCTACTATGCGTATATGATGTAATACGCAGAATTGAAAAAAAAGTTGGGTGGTTTGAACGCTCCTCTTCCCACCACTATTTCATTCCATAAGAACTAAAATGATACTTGATTCGTTTGAAGAAAAGAAGTGCACAATTAAGGGCTCGTTACCTTTGTTGGACACAATATTGATGAGATTCAACAGACAGCGGTATTCGAAGGTCGCAGGTCCAGTCTCTGTCCACTGCAAGTTATCTTTCCGTCCACTTTTCTTTCTTCGCATTTACATTAAAATTACTTCTAATCACATCCTCTATATTTTCTCGCACATGATTGCTTGTCAGATCGCCCTTGATTAGTTTGTCATTCATACAAAGGTATACAAGATGTGTCTTGGAATATTCGTTTTAAGCATACCAAGTGGTTTTGCAGAAGTAATTCAAGGCTAGTGGACACAAGTGGTGGAGACAAGGCCGGTTGAGGCAACGCTAATACCTGTGGACACAACTGAACTCCACCATAACAATGCAATTTTGTCATTTTCGTTTGTCATAAGTTGTATCTCATTTCGTCTCACACTATACCTCCACAGCGCCACCGAATTTCTGGAAGGCAACGAGACGAAGGTTTTCTTGGGTTCAGCACAACGCGCCACTCGAGATAACTGCGCTAAGGCATGAATCCGCCGAAAAATTATGAATTTATTATGACGCTATCACGTGCTTAATCAAAGGGGAAACTATATATAAGTGTTGCTATGTTTAATAAAGTTGTTATTTCATTTCATTAGAGCTGAATATCGAGGCACGGCCCCGAAATGCATGGGGCATACGTCACGTAAGTTTCTAAGGTATACCTCTCTGTTGTTTCAACGGTCGCAGACGCAATTAGCGTAAGTTTATCCCGAATGGGCAAGGCTTGCTGACGGCTGAATAAGTGAGGTGCTCGAGCGATAAGAGCAGGGTCACACGAGCAGACAAACAGTTCCTACTAGACACTATGTATGGCATACAGGCCCGATGACGTTGCTCCCTTGAACCCAAACAAACTCCACATGCAATGACGCGACGTGGTGCGCGAACTAAATGAGATGTACACGCGTTCACAGACGTAGCACTACTAACACGACCATGGGAACGACTACGTAGGAGCATGAGCATAATGTTTCAGACATGAAAACCCGCCTCAGTATAGTTTAGCAGTACAGTTCTGCACTAAGCTGAAGGAGGCGGTTTCAGTTCCCAGGCATGGTGGCCTCATCACACGATCAAGTGAAACGCAACAAGCACCAGTGTGCCTAAGCTTAGGCGCATGCATGCTAAGGAACCTAGGCGGTTACAGTTAAACGGAAGTGCTCAATTGCAGCGTGCCTCATGTTCATATTGTTACGCTGTGGAAACAAAGCGACGTAATGACTGCATGGTTTTGGCGTGCAAATCCCCAGGGTCTCTGCAGCTCAACATTCCAGAGTGGCTTAACGATGAGATCCACAAAGTTTCTGCAGTGCATTATTCCGATTAGTATGAAGTTCTATAAGCTCATTATTCTTTGTTCTGCCGCTTTGAAAGTTCACTCACTGCACAAGATGAGATGAGAGTGTATGCGTATGAGTAAGCACGTCAGCTGAGTTTAATTAGTTCCTAATTGTCATTTTCCATTTTTCAGTCAGCTTCATTGGCTCTGTTTGACATCTGTATATGGCTAGGATCATATCTTACAAAAACTGTAGCAAGTAAGGACAAATGCTGAGTCCTGATGGCTCATCTTTCAACTAAATGAGGGCGCGCACTCAGACAAGGACACTACAATGGGAAATTGTCTGAGTGCGCGCTCTTCTTCAGTTCAAAAATGAACCAATACTAATTAGCCCAATTATTTGTGCTCCTAATGGCTCCTTTGTTGTTGTGCGCTTTCTTGCACGTTCTCTCTCTCTCTCTCAGGCATATATATATGTGTGTGTGTGTGTGTGTGTGTGTGTGTGTGTGTGTGTGTGTGTGTGTGTGTGTGTGTGTGTGTGTGTGTGTGTGTGTGTGTGTGTGTGTGTGTGTGTGTGTGTGTGTGTGTGTGTGTGTTTGCGCGCGTGTAAGGCAGAGATAGTGAAGACAAGGCAACAACTAAAAACAGCCCGCGGTCACAACGAACCGCACAACAGAGATAATCTCACGAAAACAATAGCCGATCATGGAGCCTCCGTCACGACCAGTCGTCAACTGGCGCTATCTACAAAGAGTGCGTCGACAGTAAATAGTTGTAATGAGTTCACGTCCTACGTGCCTCATGTGACCGTTCATTTGATGCTGCTTCACTGAGACTGGGGACGTATGTACCACACCGTGTGTTTTTCGTAACGTAATGGTAGGTAGTTTTAGTTTCACGTACGTAGGGACTTCGCATACGCAAGCGTGAAAAGTCCCCGTATACGTTATGTGCCCACCATCTGAAACACTTACACGTACGCGAAGCACGGTGAGAGCTACCATGTAGCTCCATCTGCTGGGAATCATGAGCGCTGCCGTAGCAAACTCTCGACAGGCTACCTTGTGCGAGCGCCCGCGCGAAGCTGTCTCCATGCGCAATAAACGCACGTGAAGAATCGGATAGCGGCGCCGCACGCACCGGCGCGCTGCCGCTATGTTCTGCGCATGCGCGCTACTTACACGCAGAAGCTCTACGTACGCAAAGCCTCTACGTGCGTGAAATTAAAAATGTCTGGTGATTAGAAAGAGGAAACACCCCTACATGTTATTGTGGGTGAAATTAAGGTGAAGAAGAAACAGAAGTCTTAAAGAAAGGCAGGAGTGTTGGTCGAGCTGAACCCTTTCGGCTATAGATAGATGGTAAAAAGGGGCTAGAAAACGGAAAGATTAATGTAGGATAAATGTTCCCAATATATACAAACGTTGATGCAATGATTAGTTCATGATTCAGTTAATCAGGAAAGCAGCAGAAGATGCAGAACGCGCGACAGATAAACAGTGGCGTTCCAGTTTAGTGTGGTCAATGACGTGGGAGAGAAAAACTCTGTGGAGACATAAAAGTAGACGAAGCGATAAGAAAATATGAGGCTTTTTGATCTTTTCCAGACAGACTTACCCCGAGCGGTGGCAGGGACCAGGCCAGCGGATACCTTCCGTAGCATGTTATGCGCAGGGTGCTGTTAGCAGGAATGTCGATGTAGGCAGTGTCGATGTCCAGCTTTGGCGGCAGGAACCGGGAGACTCCGGACGTCGCACCTGTGTATCATGCAAACACGTTCTTTAGGGCGATGATTCTCGCGATAACCACGTCTTATAAACGTGAAACTAACAAGTTAAACTGCAGTGAACTATCTGTCCCACTCTTTGAGCTGTTAGGCCACGACACTTTGTACTAGTGAATGAGTGTGAGCATGTGCTTGCGTGCGTACGACATCTTGCATCTACATCGTACACAAACCAAGCTGCTTGATAACATTGGCTGTCTTTCCCACTCAACAACTTTCCTTAGAACGATATTGTTTGTCGACGGTGTCTGTCTCTTCTGCCCACGAGCTCTTGAACGAACCCCTTGTGCTTCGGTTCGAAAAGGCGTCGTGGGGCTTATTTTAGGGGCAAAGCGTTTGCGAAGCGAAGAGGGCTGTAGACTCAGAATAATATAGCGCGGACGTCTCGTTGCATACAGGTCAGTGCACGCCTGTTAATCTTTGCATGAAGGCATCTAGCTTTCTCGAGGGCAATACAATTTGCACGATAGCGTGGGCTCCCCACACTGCCCATTCGCTCGCCGCGCGAAACGCGCGTGCAACCGTTATTACTGCATGTGTCGGCAGTACCGTGCAGCGCGCGGAAGCCGCAGCACGGGTTAGCACTTCAGCAGTGCGATTCACGGCGCGATTCACGCGGGTGTCACAAAAGGGTGTACTTGGCTATATGCTTGCGCCTACCAATAGTAACAATCAGCGGTTCGAGAAGCCGCGCACTGGCCAATCGTAAATACTCTTTCACGTAAAACTGACTCAGGCTATACGGCCGATGTAGTTTGACACCTGTAGCCTACGCGACGCTGCACAAAATTAAGCGAGGTAAGGCATCGCCGGACGTCACCTCCCCTTGCCTTCTTGAGACGAAGCAAATAGCTCGAGGATCGTTTCGGGAGGCAACGCGACTGGCTTGGTCATAACATAGGGACTGGAGCCCTCGGCGACGCGCAGTATTCTTCGGCGATTGGCTGTAAAGACCAATCGTGGAAGTCGGAATCGGCCCCTCCCGCCTCTGAGACTCCCCCGCCAGCCATTTCACGATGGCTCGCATGTCCCTTTCTCTTCGCGTCATTCAAGGGCAAAATAATTTACTTCCAGAACGTTAGCCTCGTTTCCGTGAGGCGCGGTACGATGCCGTCTATTCATTGAGCCAGGATGACATTTCACTCGGAAAGCTCAGCTTCGGTGAAAACGACTACAGACCACGAGATTACGGGGGAGAATTCAAGGTATACTCAAAAATACCACGCCACAGAAACAAAACTCGGCGAATCATATATAGTGTTTTCGAGCACAGAGTGACGCAGTGGAAAAAAAAAAGATTCGACACGCGTTATTAAAAAATACGCGCGGTGACAGTTCTGCCAGCGGAGCTATCTTAGGCAGTCCTCTTCCTGGAGATTTTCTGTTGCTTTCTCCTCGTCCACAGCGCACGACTTCGAGCATATGCAACCTCCAGCTTGTTCTTTTTTTTTATCAGTGCCCGAAATAGCCATTCGAAACAACCAGGCTATGTTATACAAAGCTCAACATTCTCTTACTGCTTTCTGCCTTCCCGCCAGTGCCGATTTTTTTATTTATTTACTTATTTTTGCAGCGATGCGAATGAAGACTTGTTTCTTGAGTCGGTGCCAGCTGCGCCTCAATTTCTAGGATGACCTTTATCAGCGGCAACGTCGCTCTTCCTAGTGCGTCTTTTCTGACCAAGGCTTGCATCTAGAGGCGTAATACAAGCGAGAGGATTTGTGACCGCGCGGTAATTAAGTAGAAATTAGCAAGTAGACATCACTTCCTCGTCGTTCTCAGTGATTGTTCAGCTACCGTTGTGACTTCAGTTTAGCTGAGAAATGGGGCGAAGTATACCTTCCTTATAACACCTTATCCGTAATGCGTGTCGCTGGCGCAGATTAAACACGTTACTTAATCTCTGAAAGTTCTACGTCCCCTTATAGGTAGACAACGTTCTTTCTTTTTGTCAACAGACACAGAAATACGTGTCTAAACGCCTGCAGTTCGCTATTCTGTGTCGAAGCGAACGGCAACGCCGTGCTTGCAAAAACGCTCATGAGCACGTTCCGCAGAGTGGCAACTCTCGCAGAAACGCTATTATCAAAAAAAAAAAAAAAGCCTTGGACCAAATTCACACATAGGTTTTCCTTCGTAGGTGCCCTTTCCCATTGTTAATATGCCCCTGATGGTAATATTACCAGCATCCGGATTGGCTAATTTTTTTGTTCATTACGAGCTACTCTAGCGTAAGAAGTAGTTTTTATGAATAATACTGTTTTGTGCTCCTCGCTCAGCTCATGTAACGTGGGGAAGTTGAGGGAGCTATCTATCTATCTATCTATCTATCTATCTATCTATCTATCTATCTATCTATCTATCTATCTATCTATCTATCTATCTATCTATCTATCTATCTATCTATCTATCTATCTATCTATCTATCTATCTATCTATCTATCTGTCTGTCTGTCTGTCTGTCTGTCTGTCTGTCTGTCTGTCTGTCTGTCTGTCTGTCTGTCTGTCTGTCTGTCTGTTTGTCTGTCTGTCTGTCTGTCTGTCTGTCTGTCTGTCTGTCTGTCTGTCTGTCTGTCTGTCTGTCTGTCTGTCTTTCTTTGTTCCTTGCTTTACTTCTTTCTTTTTATGTCTGTCCGTCTTAAAAACGCGACCCTGTCCCCGTAGGACGATATCTCACCGTTTCACATTCACAAGAATCAACAATTTTTCCCTTCGCAGCACTGCCCTAGCCTTTCAAACACACAACAAAGCGAAAAGTCATCTGTTTTAATGCCTAAATCTGCAGCACTCGACGTCACCACAAGTGCCAGCAATATATTATATAAGGCAGTGCTTTATTACCCGTTATCACTGTCTCCTTGATATCCTCTCGTAATTTTATTGAACACTTATTGTCAATTAGCCGCAACCTGTAGGGCCTGCTGATATCAGCAAACGTTTATAAACAGTGCGTTTGTGAGTGCGCGTCATTTGTCGCGCCAATCAGCACCTGGTTATCAATTCGCAGCTGTCGCACCCTTCACATTGTTGCGCCATGCAGGGCCTTTATATAATGTTTTACTTGGCGCAAGCCTGATTTGGAGGCTATGATGCTACCTTTCCTCCTGTATCTTTTTTTTTGCACGCTTGTTTGTTTTTTTTTTTGTTCGCGCTCTGCTTTCTCTTTTCTCCCGTGTGAAAGGCAGCAAACCAGAAGTTTTGATTTGATAGATTTGTGGGGTTTAACGTCCCAAAACCACCGTATGATTATGAGAGACGCCGTAGTGGAGGGCTCCGGAAATTTCGACCACCAGGGGTTCTTTAACGTGCACCCAAATCTGAGCACATGGTCCTACAAAATTTCCGCCTCCATCGGAAATGCAGCCGCCGCAGCCGAGATTGCATCCCGCGACCTGCGGGTCAGCAGCCGAGTACCTTAGCCACTGGACCACCGCAGCGGGCAAAACCATAAGTTTTAATCACCGTTAACCACTCTACCTCTCTCTCATTTGCTATTTCTATGTACAGACTACAAAAGTACAGAAGAACGCCTGCACAGATGTACAGACATTACCTCTCTACCTCAGTGCCACTCCTTTTTGAGAGAGAGAGGTACAGTTGAGGCAAGAAATCGTTTTAGTGCCCGTTACTGTCATTTGCAGCATGCAAAAACGTTCAGTGAAGACAATGATAACCGTTTGTAGTACATAAAGCAAATCAAGCATCGCACTCAGCTGGATGTGCCACTGCCACCTCGTTTAAATTCGCGCTAACAAACGTAATCGTTTACAAGGTTAGCACGAGCGATTGGACTCGCCCGTAGGAGTACTTTTTGAAGTTGTTTGTGCCAATGGTGTCACCTCATACTTCAGCGCTCTAAGCAGATGACCCTGCTAACATCTCCAGACTCCAGCATGGGTAAACATCTCTCTATTTCCCCTTTTTTGTATCCCAGGGTATTTTGCTATTTTCCTTGACCGTACCATCAGCGTCCAATGAACAGCCACGATACAAATCTCTTCGGGCAGAACCTGATGTTTCTCATCGCTGCTCCGCCCATCGCGGCGTTGTCTCGCATTAGAAGCCGAGCGTTTATCTGCCTCGAGGCCCCTTGCTCGTCATGCCGCCCTAATCAAGCCGAGTGCGCGCGTCAGCTGCGGTGGCGGGCGACCAAGACGCTGCTGTTGCAACGAGTTGTTCGCTGCTGCAGCCAGCCGACCAGACAGTCGTGCGAGCGGGCAAAGGCTGTTTCCATCCCCTCTCTTTCTCTCAACCCTTTCGCGAGCCTGTGGCAAGAAGCGTTCCTGCCGAGGACGACGGCCAAGGCGCTATCGGTGGTCGTCAGCCGGCAGCGAGAGAGGAAATCCCCGCCGCGCACATCCGCAGGGAAGCCGGTGGTCCGCGCCGCGAGGCGCCCAGAGACAGCTAGCGGCACGGCCGTGGGTGTAACAAACACCGCGGCTGTAAGCACACACAATTTGTCGCACACTTTGATCCTTCAACCAAAAAAGTGTTTGTTGTATTGACATGTGGTCTCTTCTTATTGCCTGTTTTCCCTCCATAATTTACAATAACTGTTCAGACTGTCCATTCGCCCCGCCACGGTGGTCTAGTGGCTAAGGTACTCGGCTGCTGACCCGCAGGCCACGGGATCGAATCCCGGCTGCGGCGGCTGCATTTTCGATGAAGACGAAGATGCTGTAGGCCCGTGTGCTCAGATTTGGGCGCACGTTAAATACCCCCAGGTGTTTGAAAATTTATGGAGCCCTCCACTACGGCGTCTCTCATAATCATATGGTGGTTTCGGGACGTTAAACCCCAAATACCTATTCATCGTCTATGGCAGCTGATGAAGGCCAACGTACCCTATTTTTTCTTACCTATCTTTCTACCTCTTTCACTCCTACTTTCTTCTCCCTGCATTACAGAGAATAGGAGAACATACGCTAGCCAATCGTTCTGCTTTCACTACTCTTTCTCTCTCTCTATGAA